CACAAATCAAACTGTGATTATACACTATAATGACCGAGTTGTCTAACCTCTTCTTCTTCTTCTATGGCTCTCTGGTCCATATTTGGTCCATGGCCTCCTCAATTCTCCTCTTCCATTCGGTCCTCTGTTAGGTCCGTCTGTCCGAGACTTTGATTGAGGTTTCGAAACATCTTCCTTTTTACGGTGCAAGGTTGTTAGCCTTGTGACCAACCCCCAACCTGGAGGACCAAGTTAGCTGTCATAGTCTGACCTCTCCCCCTTGACCAATCTGGCTAGGGAGGCCCTACCAGTAGCTCTTGGGGTCACTGAGGTACTCAAACCCCACCACCACGAAGGTGCAGGTACCATTAAGTGGGGTGTCTAACCTCTTACAAATGAAAAATGAGTGCCCTACAAGATGACCAATCATTTGATGTACGAGGTGTGATCGAAAGGTTTCCAGACTGCGCGTATAAAAACCCGTATACTTATCTCAGGTATTAAATTCATCCATCACCCTCGAAGTAGTTCCCCTGGGAGTGAACACAACGATCCCAGCGCCGCTGCCAAGCCTGGAAGCATCCCTGGAAATCTTTCTTTGTCAGCCTGTCAAGCACCATCTGCGATTCTGCCTGAATCTCTTCTATCGTCTCAAATCTCATTCCCTTTAGCTGAATTTTCATCTTTGAGAAGAGGAAACCTTAGAAAGGAAGTTGGGGTCGGTTCTTGCAAGATCTTTGAGCTCCTGACAAACGAGAAGTCGATTCTGCTTCTGGTCCTCAGACAGGAGCCTTGGCACAAACTTGGCCGAGATGCGTCGCATGTGGAGTTCTTCCTTTAGAATCAGCTATTGACACAGTCTTGAAACTTTCCGATCGCACCTCGTATCTGCTTCTCAACTTAATGAAGTAATGTGACTGACACAGTACAAATTTTGTTTTACATTCTATCCTGGCACATTCTGTCCAAATATTATGAGACGTACACGCCTCAAATTCTTATAGAGATTTAAAATGCTGTTTAGAAATGTACACATGTGTAATAATTCTTTTTACGTGGCTGTTGTTTCAGAAGTGGCGGTATCTGAAGAGAGAGTTGGCCAACCTGGTAAACCTGCTGATCCCCTGGGAACTTCGCATTAAGGAGATAGAATCCCATTTTGGTTCTGTAGTAGCATCGTACTTTACGTTCCTCCGCTGGTTATTCTGGGTGAACCTGGTGATCACAGTCCTTCTTGTTGCATTTGTTATAATTCCTGAGGTAAACGCACTCATCCTTATGCTGTAGGCTATAAAACATTGCAATTCAAAGGACTTCTAAATACATCTGAATTTCCATTTAATGCTAGCTTCTTTGAGTGACAATGAATTTGGATGGTAAACTGAAGAAAACAAAAAAAAAATGTAGGAACCATATGAGTTGCATTACTCATATTATTGTTGTTGTTTTTGTTGTGAAGGTGGCAGTCAGTGTCTGTGCACATGCTGACAGGCTCATTTTCCAGGCCCCTGTTGATACGCAAGTTAATATGTATCAGCAGTGGAATGATACCGACAAGAAAAAAGAATAACAAAAAATGCTTTCAGTTTCTGTTTAACCGTTTGCTTCTTGTTTTCTTCCGTCTTACAAACTGGCTTTTTCAACTGCATCAATAGTAACACAGTATTCTACTATGAGCTGCAGTAATTTCCAAGAACTATTGCATTCACTGGCAAAGTTTCCTTATACAGTATAATTAAAAAAAATGGATAAACTTTTGTGCACCACTCTGTAGTTAGAAAGAACAGATTCATCCAGAAATATTATCAAAATTATTTTTTTCCAAGAAAATTTAAATACAATCTGAATATTTGATGAGGATGACACCTTTGTCATAGCATAATTCGTATGTGAGTTAATGTAATTTATATTTCGTTTTTTAAAACGTGATATTAAATTTGTGGAAATGCTGCTGTTTTGAAGGTATCTCGTGCTGTTCGAGATTAAAACTCTTGGGAAGTAATGTATCTACTAATGATCATAATTTGTTGTGTTCTAACTGACTGCCTTTTATCTATTTCAGATGCTGACTGCTGATCCTAAAAATGCCGGAGAAAGAAAGGAAATGTTGCCCGAAGAGAGAACTAAGGCCACAAACCTAATAACTCTATGGAATTTTGAAGGGGTCCTCAAATACTCTCCCATCTTTTATGGCTACTACACCAACAGGGATGGCACAAGAAATGGATATCGTCTTCCTTTTGCGTACTTCATGACTGGACTTGCTGTGTATATTTACAGCTTTGTCGCTACACTCAAAAGGTACACTACTCAGAGAAGTCTACACAGACACAAATCTGACTCGTGATTAAGCCTAGAACCACGTAAATCAGAAACCAGTGCCTTATCTCGCTTGCATACCTGGATTCAGTCCCAGAGAAGATTACATCGGGCATTTTGTAATTTGTTCTCTTCACAAAATATCCTCAGATGTTGTCAAATCCAGCAGAATTAGATTGACAGGCAATGTAGCATGCATGGAAAGTTGAAGAATGCACACAAAATTTTAGTCAGGAAATCTGAAGGCAAGAGACCACTTTGATGATGCTGGTATAGGTTGAAGATGTGGGTAAGATTCATCAGGCCAAGGACAGAGCCCATTGGCAGACTCTTGTGAACATGATATTCAAACTTTGGGTTTCATAAAAGGCAGGGATTTTTTAAAAATTATTCATTGTCTAGAATTTTTCCATTGTCCTTGTTTAAAAAAGAAGAAACCGCGATGTTTCGGAAACAGAGCCAATTTCTGAAGTGCCGTGGTTTATTTTTTAAACAAGGACGATGGAAAAAGTCCAGACAGTGAATAATTTTAAGTGTAATCCACCATTGTCAGGACCCTTTAGAGTTGAGGGAATTCCTTGACTGTCTGACTAACTATCAGCTTCTCAACAAGACTGCATAAAAGCAGGTAGAAGCTATTAAGGGACCACACAGACTGCATACATTCTGCTGAAATACTCTGTCTCTTTTTGCAAATGTCCTTCCCGTTGGCGTGGTCGCTCCACAGGATGGCAGAGAATTCCCGCATGAGCAAGCTCTCTGAGAAGGATGACGAGTGCGTATTCACATGGAAGCTGTTCACTGGGTGGGACTACATGATCGGGAACGCTGAAACCGCACACAACCGCACAGCTTCCATCATCTTGGGATTTAAGGAGGCTCTCCTGGAAGAGGCTGAGAAGAAAAGGAACCCTCAAGAGTAATAGATGCGTCACTTTCTTTTATGAATATTAACTTGAATTCCTACAGTTTAAACCATTTAAAATAAACGTGACTTTAATCGGTATCTTGTGTGAATATGAAACATGGCCTCTTCTTTGAGGAGAAAAATGGAGTTTAAACAAAATTATGGGTCCAGTGAGAGGCTCTCGTATCGACACCAATGAACATTCAGTCATCATAACAGCGTTTTATTCGAATGGATGGAAGAACAGATAAATGATCAGGACATAAAAGGTATCAAATGCATTGTTTCAGAAATGCAGCGATATCTTTAACCCTTTTGAAGTCAAATCTTGTCTCAATAATATTCAAGAATTTAGTCTGTACAACAACAAAAATACAATGCTTCACTATTACAAAGATCAACCGGTTAATCAGGGCTGTGGAGTCGGAGTTGTTAAAAATGTACCGACTCCAACCTCAGTATAAAAAGTAGCCTGATGATTCACGTGGTGATGATGAAATGTCTTAGTACCTACTCCAGAGCCCTGCGGTTAATACCATTGGGCTATGAAGGGTTAAACTGGTTTCTACAGGATTTTAAATCATTATAAATGTCAACTTTAGAAAAGACTGTGATTCTATATAATATGAGGCAATATTAATGTTCATTGAAAGTCATATTAGTAGTACTGAAATAAACAATATAAACCCTCCCTCATTTACACTTCGTTATGTGCTTGTAAATAGTGATATTATTGTAACCTGTTAAACATTGCTACATCATACATCAACAGCAAGACATGATCTAAATTTGTCTTAGTCAGACAGTGTGAAAACTAGTAAAATTTATCCCTTCCCCCCAATCCAAGGAATTCTGTGAAATACCAAAAAAATATTTAAAAATCTAGCAGAAAATTTCTCCAGAAAAGGTTAAGTTTCAGATTTCCTGTAATGTGTAAAACGTGCACACGATGTGAGAGCAAAATGATACCAGTCCACAGAGACAACTATTGTAATAATGGTTTAAAAATCAGAAAAGGTCAATAACCACTGGCATAGGTGAATCGGTGTCAATAAAATTACTCGTTGATTTGTGCATTCCATAAATTGTATCACATTATGAGCTTCAGCCACTGGCTTAGCAGGTAATCTTAGGATTAGTAAAGGGCAACAAATTTTACAAAGAATGTGCTTGATGAATTGATTTACTATGATTGATTGATTGGCTATTCAGCATTCTTAACTCTTTAGGATATTAAATTTGAACTTAATTGGAGATTACGCTTCAAATTACTAAACTGTTATTTTATTCTAATACGGTCAACACGCGATATGACTGACCAGAGCCTGGTTTGTGGAAACGTGTTGAACCATCAGAAGTGGGCGTTCACGTTGTGGTTGAATAAGCTTTAACCCGTTGGTTGTTTTACTTGTACCATGTTTTTACTGGATATCTTTATTTTCTACAGTTTTGCTGGTATGTTTGAAATGCATTTTCCATATTACACCTAAAGTCACTCTAATTAATGTGTAAGTATGCGGCTCAGTCGAGAAACCGGACTTAAAATAGATGTCCTTCTGCCTAGCTGGAAGATTATTGGTCTTCGAGTGCTCGTCAATTTTGCTGTCGTGGCTCTTCTTGCTGCTTCGGTATACGCGGTTGTGGAAGTGGTGAAACGCTCTGAAGAGCCTGCCAGTGACGAAAACTGGTGGCGCCAGAACGAGATCACAATGGTCCTCACGTTGATCACATTTGTATATCCTATTATCTTTGAAGTCTTAGGTTTCTTTGAAGGCTTTCATCCCCGCAAACAACTTCGACTGCAGTTGGCGAGGTAAGAACATGAGCACAGAAACGTTAAACTGCCATGCTTTATAAATGTGCTACGTCGTATTTCACATTGTGCTTTTCTGTTTCAGAATTATGGTACTCAACTTTCTGAATTTATATACACTGATTTTTGCACTTCTTGGAAAAATAAGTTTCATGGTAAGGAATTTGTGTGTGTTGTTATAGAGGGTTAGAATCTGGTAATGGAATCCAAGTAATATTTGTGTTCTACATTTATAATTGTTATTTAAATTGACAATTCTAAAGACTTTTGTTACTCTTATAGCCTTGTGTGATGAAAAGTTAATTAACTTTAAAGTTTATGATGTCAATGTAGTCTATATAAAAATGCTAAGAATGATTTTCATTAAAAATTAGCTTCAGAGTTTTCATTAAGTGTTTTTTATATCTTGACTTTGAGAGTCCACAACAGTGGGCAGCAAAATATTGGCTGTGTCAAGGTCGAGTCCAGGAATTTTGTACTGTGCTACAAATAGAAAGTATAACGTCAACCTCAAAATGATTGTGTCACTTGATCATTTGTTATGTCTTATGGGTTATATCAGTGATATTCAACCTTTTTTGTTCGCGTACACCCAGATATAATTTCTCTTCAACTTTGTACCCCCTAAGTTGTTGGCGTATAATTCAAGTTATACGTAGTATATAATCTGCATCTAAAATAAATTAAATGAATTACATTACTAATTATTCAGTGTTTATCATAATTTTTTTTTTAAAAATTTCACGTACCCCCTAAGATGTCTTCGCGTACCCCAGGTTGAATACCACTGGGTTATATGATTAGGTGACTAATATTACATATTATAGAAATTGAGTTCAAGAGTTTGTAAGATATTCTTGGTTTTGGTGTGTTTATTTTGTATTATTTGTCACAAATGCACATCAAGGAAAAAAGCTTTCTCCTTTACATGAAACTGAAATATGTATCAAGTTTTTTGATAATTAAATGAATTAAAATATGTTTGTACAGGCAACTTAATGGAAAATTGAAAGTGTTTTGTGCAATTGAAAATTGTGTTCCTTTTTCTTTGGTTATTTTTACAACTTTTCACCAAAAAATTAACAATTTAATTCTAAATCGTAACCTGATGGGAAGATAAGTTGCGTTAATGATTGTAAGACATACTGAAACAGAGAAGCTCTCTTGTGTGGCAAGTAAATTTCAGTTTAATTAGCTGCTTTTAGTAAATGTGGTGTTAATCGGCCCATATAAGTGAAAAGTAATTGGCAACAAAGCTGTGCAGTGCAGATTTTTGTACAGTGAAAAGTTATAGTTCCACTAAAAAGTTCTTATTGCATGTTTCTCATAGACCAGGGATCTGCAAAACCTGAAACCAAACACTACAACTCACTTAGCTGTGACGTCGGACTACTCGGAGAGCAGCATGCCATGGTCCAAAGGATCTGCGGCTAGTACAAGTCTACCTGCAATGTTTGAGTCGTCCAATGTGACTTCTCCATCTGATGTTACGGCTTCTATCATGATGATAGTAACGGCTTTAAGCAGCGCACCTCACATGTTAACCAACGTAACTAGTTTTTTACAGACAGTTACAGAAGAACCTACTGAATTGACTTCTGTAGTGTCAAAACTGGCCAGTCTTCTAAATTTCACGAAGTTCACTTCTGAACATTCAGATGTAACAACATTTTTACCAGTTTTCAATAGGACTGAAGTTTATTTCTATGATGCAACTGAATATAATTCTTCAATTTTAATAGATGCAGTTGTTCCTACAGAACCTACATTATCATCAGAATCAATTGAAGAATTTGGTGATATTGATAATTTTTTGAATCTGACCTTGGAAGACTTCATGTATGATAACTTTACATTTATTAACGAACTAATGAATGTATCATCGTGTGTAAATATTAGTGATGTAGAATATGACTTACCAAACTCTTCTGATGGCAGATGGAATAGGCTCGATTCAGATACTGCAAGTAATTTTGATATGACAAGTAATATTTCATGCACGGAAAATATAACTTTTGAAATTACTGAGGAGGCCTTACAACCTGATTCAACAAATTTATCATCAGAACAGAATTTAGATGATACAACAGATTCGTCTGTAAGCTTTGAAAGCGTTTTACCATTGGATTACGTTAGTGTAGCAAATTTCAGTTCTGATGACGATAATAAGAGTAGCACTTCAGCATCAGTGACTGAAAATGAACTGTTGATTTCAACTCTGATTACAACATTAACAACTTTACTGGCCCAGGAAAAGGATTCCTCAAATACCAGTGAATATATTGAACAAATCTCTCAGATTCTGCAAGAAGTAACAACGGGTTTTCCAGTAAAGGACGCAGATCTGAGCAAGTGCGACTCAACACAGTGCCATGCAGCATCAGCAGATGCCAGTGCTACGATTTGGGAGCCTGTAGTTACAGTGAACACTATAAATGAAAGACATTTCTCTACAGCCATCACTGTGGAGTCAACGGTAACTTACGGTAGGTGCAAAATTAATACTAGTAAAGTTCACTGTATACTTGTGTAACAAGAGGACGAATTCTCTAAGGGGAATGTATAACGTGAATCTAACTCTATGGAAGAAAGTTCTTTGTGAGAAGCCGAGTGTTACTATTTTTTGCTAGACAGAGGACTGTAGTGGCCAGTTAAATTGAGTCCATATCTTCATATTCTGTTCATATAAAATTAATTTTAATAACATCCTCCCACCTGTGACTAAGTTCCAATTGGTCTTCCCTTCAGATTTCCATACAGAAATTTTGTACGTACCTAGGCTTTGATGAGTATTAACAGCAATCGTGATTTCGCCAACTCCCAGCTTCTCATAAGGCATTAGTCCTACGATTTCAGATGTTTCTCAGAAACGTGACCCCTGCAGTTGGCAAGGGATTGCTTTATTATTTTGTTCATGTTTACTTTGTGCATTTATTTTTTATTACTTATGTAAAACAGGAGGTGGCAAAAACCCACAACCAGGTTGTAGAGCCAAGAAACAACTACTTACGTGAATATTCATTACCTTATCACTTTAATCACTTATTCATACATTCAGTTGTGACTCAGAGACTGTTTAGCTATACTTATATTGTGATTTTCTTCAGACACTCCATGACAATTATGAGACATTAAATTAAAATAGCTTGTGACTGTGCCATTTTTATTCTTCGGAATTCATGATCCTCACGTCATTTAACACTATATAGCACATACAGATGAGAAATCATTTTTAAATAAACAAAGAAACAAATTACTGTAATTTGTTTGTTCAATGTCAGAGTGACCTTCAGTATCTTGTTCTTTCTGTAGAGTTTCCTAAAATTGGTGATTTGTTTAAAACTAGTAGGGAGAGAGACATACACAGACATTCTGCTGTTTTTATCTTCAGAAATGACAAGCCACTTTCTTAATGATGTACCAGTATGTTACTGCATTTCATTTTGGCCTTAAATCTCAAAATTTGTGCAGCCAGCATGAAAATTGACACGCGGAAAAGGTTGTCCATAATTCTAACTCCTCTTCAGGCTCGAGTGAGATACCAGTGCCTCAGTCAGAGTTATCACCCGCACAGATGGATATGAAGACAAGAAGGGAACTACGTCGCTTGTGCTGGGAAACAATGTTTGGTCAGGAGCTCGTCAAACTCACAGTAATGGATCTTGTAAGTTGTGTTTTAGATATACAATGTGTCAAACCCCAGTGTTTAAGTCTGGCCAACAGCCACTTAGTTTAGGGCTTTAAAGTCCCTGTAATTTACAATAGAGCATTGCACTATATCACCTGTTTGGTGAAGTTTCCTGGGGATGTCAGTAACAGAATATTTCTCTAAGATGGCTGTCTTCTGGGTCGTAGTGCCATGTAGTCTGGTAGAAGGTTACCAATGTTTAAGAGGTCCTTACTGCCTCCAACGTCAAAGCGAGGCAGTAAGGGCCTGTGAAATGTTGGTGTACTTCTTCCAGACTACATCCCAGAAGACAGCCATCTTTGTACTCATTGCAGATCTTGTCCTGTAGCCTGGTGATGAAACACGAATATGTAGGTTGTCTGCATTTGCATGTAGACCAATCTCCTTAATAACATCTAACGGATCTCCTGTACACATTCATGTCTTACTGCTCTGTGCACGACAGGTTGTGACGGTGGGCTCCACCCTGATTATCGACTTCATCAGAGCACTGTTTGTTCGTGTCATGAACAGCTGTTGGTGCTGGGACTTGGAGAAGCAGTTCCCACAGTATGGAGACTTCAAGATAGCAGAGAACATTCTGCACCTAGTGAACAATCAGGGCATGGTGTGGATGGGCATGTTCTTCTCTCCGGGATTGCCGCTCCTCAACCTTATCAAGCTAGTTATACTGATGTACCTGCGTTCCTGGGCAGTGCTCACTTGCAACGTACCGCATGAAGTCGTGTTCCGGGCCTCCAGATCAAATAATTTCTATTTTGCTCTTCTCTTGACCATGTTGTTTTTTTGTGTTCTGCCTGTGGGATATGCGATTGTGTGGGTAGAACCGTCATGGCACTGTGGACCATTTTCTGGCTATAAATATATTTACCACATCTTCACAAAAAGCCTCCAGAAGGCACTGCCAAAATCTCTCCACCGAGCTCTGGACTACATTGCTTCGCCAGGCACAGTAATTCCTCTTTTACTGCTCCTTGTTCTTGTCATTTACTATTTGGTGTCACTGACCGGCGCTCTCAGAGAAGCCAACAACGACCTGAAGGTTAGGAACCATTTTTTACTTATCCGTATAAATAATTTTAAATGCATAGGTTTTGAGGTTTCCATGGCGGTGAGTCTGAAGATTGCTGTCTTCTGGGTTGTTGTGCTGTGTAATCTGATAGAAGTTTACTGATGTTTCACAGGTCCTTACTGCCTCCATCATCAGGCTATGGTATTATTTATGTTCAAAATTTAAACAGCATAAAAGTGCAGTAGCCTGTATTGCCATGATGCTGATAAAATTCATCACGTTTCTTTACAAAAACAAGGAAGGTAACAAAAATGAGATTTACAGTTATCTTTTGAGAAGTATTCAGGAAACTTTTTTATCCAGTTAAAACTGTTATGTGATCTATTTGTCAAAATAATGAAAATCTGGATGCATACTTGGTTGGGGTTTCAATGTTGCAAAACCTTACAGGTAGGAAGCAGAGTAGAAAAAAAACTAAATAGTTTGATATTTGAAGGTACACAGCAATCAAAATGAATGTGGTTATAGATTCAACTGCGGCGAGAGCGAACCGAAGAGCGCCGCAAGATGTTTCAACTCATGCACCACAAACGAAGAGGCGGAAGTGGTGCAGACAAGTCGGACACTCCATATATTAGGTGGCGAAAAATTCTGCCTGTAATGCCATCTAAATCATTGCCAGGTGCAACTTCAAAACTGGGTGACAATAACACAGAGGATAAGGAGAGCATAATGGCAGTAGGCAATGGAAATATTAAAAATGATGCCAGTCAGAACGGTAAGTAATGACAGGTAATATTTGTACGGTTAATAGTTTAAGAATCAGCATTTCTATGCATCTTTCAGCGGCTTAGTTTACTATTGTCTGTCGAATCCAGGAAGGTATTCCATCTGTTCAAATACACACTGCTCCAAATGTCATATATTTTAACTTTACGCTCGATGAATTTGTTGTTGGTATCCTTACACCAACGCTGTGGAGCTGAGTTCTTGGAAAGGAATAGTTGTTCACCTGGGCAAGAAATTCCTCATTATATACTTTACATCATCACGTTACTTCCTCGCTTTTCGGTCCAAATTATCTCCTCAACACCGTTTGCAAACATCCCGAATCTATGTACGAGGCGCGTCCCAAAAGTAAGTTTCCCACTCGTCCCACAGCTAGCAAACCTTATATTGAGCGAAGCGACTGTGCGTACGTGATAGAGCAATGACGTAGCATGGCGCATGCACTAACGGCACTTCCCGCGTTCTCACAGTAGCATCGTTGCAGCTGTTGAAGATGGAGATTCTTATTCCAGCTCCCGCCGACTGTGAAGTGCGGTCAGTGATAACGCTAGGCCGCACACGGCTCAACGGACAGCGAGTCTCCTGCAGGAGATGGTATTATTTATGTTCAAAATTTAAACAGCATAAAAGTGCAGTAGCCTGTATTGCCATGATGCTGATAAAATTCATCACGTTTCTTTACAAAAACAAGGAAGGTAACAAAAATGAGATTTACAGTTATCTTTTGAGAAGTATTCAGGAAACTTTTTTATCCAGTTAAAACTGTTATGTGATCTATTTGTCAAAATAATGAAAATCTGGATGCATACTTGGTTGGGGTTTCAATGTTGCAAAACCTTACAGGTAGGAAGCAGAGTAGAAAAAAAACTAAATAGTTTGATATTTGAAGGTACACAGCAATCAAAATGAATGTGGTTATAGATTCAACTGCGGCGAGAGCGAACCGAAGAGCGCCGCAAGATGTTTCAACTCATGCACCACAAACGAAGAGGCGGAAGTGGTGCAGACAAGTCGGACACTCCATATATTAGGTGGCGAAAAATTCTGCCTGTAATGCCATCTAAATCATTGCCAGGTGCAACTTCAAAACTGGGTGACAATAACACAGAGGATAAGGAGAGCATAATGGCAGTAGGCAATGGAAATATTAAAAATGATGCCAGTCAGAACGGTAAGTAATGACAGGTAATATTTGTACGGTTAATAGTTTAAGAATCAGCATTTCTATGCATCTTTCAGCGGCTTAGTTTACTATTGTCTGTCGAATCCAGGAAGGTATTCCATCTGTTCAAATACACACTGCTCCAAATGTCATATATTTTAACTTTACGCTCGATGAATTTGTTGTTGGTATCCTTACACCAACGCTGTGGAGCTGAGTTCTTGGAAAGGAATAGTTGTTCACCTGGGCAAGAAATTCCTCATTATATACTTTACATCATCACGTTACTTCCTCGCTTTTCGGTCCAAATTATCTCCTCAACACCGTTTGCAAACATCCCGAATCTATGTACGAGGCGCGTCCCAAAAGTAAGTTTCCCACTCGTCCCACAGCTAGCAAACCTTATATTGAGCGAAGCGACTGTGCGTACGTGATAGAGCAATGACGTAGCATGGCGCATGCACTAACGGTACTTCCCGCGTTCTCACAGTAGCATCGTTGCAGCTGTTGAAGATGGAGGTTCTTATTCCAGCTCCCGCCGACTGTGAAGTGCGGTCAGTGATAAAGTTTTTGAATGCACAGAGCATAGCGCCGATCGAAATTCATCGTCAGCTGTGCCGGGTCTATGGGCCTAACGTCATGAGCAAGCAGATGGTGCGTCGCTGGTGCAGACAATTTTCAGCAGGTCGACAAAGTGTGCATGATGAGAAGCGCAGTGGGAGGCCATCCATCATTACAGACGACCTTGTGGAGCTTGTGCGGGAACGCATTATGGATAATCGTCGCTTCACAATTACGGAACTCAGCAGTCATTTCCCGCAGATTTCCCGCTCCTTGTTGCACAAAATTGTCACGGAGCACCTGTTGTTCAAGAAATTGTGCGCCAGGTGGGTGCCGAAGCAACTGACACCAGAACACAAAACAAAGCGCATGGAGTCAGCATTGACATTTCTGCAGCGGTACCATGATGGCGGCGACGAGTTTCTGGACCGGATCATCACAGGTGATGAAACGTGGATTGCACACATTACCCCAGAAACCAAGCAGCAGTCAATGCATTGGCGTCACAGTGGATCTCCCTGTAAGACGAAATTCAAGCAGACGTTGTCGGCGCGGAAAGTGATGTGCACGGTGTTCTGGGACAGACGGGGCGTTCTCCACGTCGACTTCCTGACCAGAGGTGAGACGGTGAATGCTGAGCGTTACTGCGAAACACTGCAGAAATTGCGACGGGCCATTCAGAACAAGTGGCGCGGGATGCTTAGTGCCGGTATTGTCTTCCTGCACGATAACGCTAGGCCGCACACGGCTCGACAGACAGCAAGTCTCCTGCAGGAGTTCAGCTGGGAGGTGTTTAATCATCCACCCTACAGCCCGGACCTCGCTCCCAGTGATTTCCATCTTTTCCTACACCTCAAGAAATTCCTGTCCGGTCAGCGTCAGCGTTTTGAGAATGACAGAGAGGCGGAGATGGTTGTCACACAGTGGTTCCAATCCCAGGCGGCAGACTTCTACGACACAGGTATTCAAAAGTTGGTCCCACAGTATGACAAATGTCTCAATTCCGGTGGCGAATATGTTGAAAAATAGCTGGACACTTGCTGTATCTGTTGCAATAAATATTTCCATGAAATTGTGTTTTGTTTCTGTAAACGGCCCCAGGGAAACTTACTTTAAGGACGAGCCTCGTATGTTCATTAAAGTAAGAGATAGGGTTTCACCTCTATATGAAACTACGAATAATAATGAAGTGTGTTATTTTAAATTTTAGGTGTTTTTATAGGAGATGCGAAGATCAAAGTTTTGTAAAAGAATGGTAGAAAGCATTTCTCAAGTACAATCTGCTATTAACATAACGTGATTTTCATTTGTTACAATATTATTACACTTCATGAAGTATAGGCAACAAGCCTCTCCCTCCACCTAACACGTGAAATGCTTCAAAACGTGGATCACTGATAACACCAATTTGACGGCAGTGTGAACTTGTAATATTTGAGCAATGTTAACATTCTCGAAAATCTGCATGATAATTGATATGTTGAAAAGATCTTGTGATAGTTGTTGTTGATAATGAACCTTCAGTTCAACAGAAGTTGAGGAACTTTGTGGAAGTTAAGCTGCAGTCTATGCATATTGATGTTATTTACCAAGGCTGGTTTAACATTTACTTATATGTTGTTTCAGAAATCTTGACTAGGATCATGAAAAGGGCACTGCGCAAATCCTCGGCAACTTCTGATGAAGAAAGCATGCCTATTATGGATGGAGATGGAACTGACATTGAACTGCATGACTCGCTGCCTGAGGACAGACCGCAAATGAAAGCTGCGAAAGTAAGACCTCAGTTTGAATCTTATAATTGTGGTATTATTGAAACTTCATTTGATGTTGAACAGGAATCTGTCGGGAAAGCTGCAGCCAAGAATATAGGAGATGAGAGTCATCATCATCACGCCCACAGAAAGCGATCAGAACACAGACATAAATCCCCGTCCTCAAGTTCTACCAATAAGGAGCGAGAAGATTCTCTGACATCAGCATGGTCAGACAACATTCCTGTCATCCGTATCAGCAAGACAGACAGTTCTGAATGCATCCAGCAGAGGGCAGAACCACAGCGACCAACCAAGTTTAGCAGCGGTGACACTGTTATTGTGGCAGATGACATTGAACCTGTTCATAAATCCGCTAAGACACTTCCATCATCAGACAGTCCGTCTCTTCATAAGAAGACAGTTAGGAGGTGCAGTGATGACCAGTTTCATCCAGACGGTGTTAGAGTAGATAATAATGGACATAAAAGATTGGTCCAGGCATTAATAACAGAATCAGAACAAAAGAAGAATCACAGGGGTAAGGATGAGCAAAAACTTGGTGATGCAATGGAAATGACATGCAAGAATACTCCACAAAAACAGCATTTAAGAAAAGATGAAGCTAAAAAGTTATAGGCAGTGAAATATTCAGATGTACTCTATATTTATACAGTTGTAATTTATACAAGTAACACTACATTCTCAATATCAGAAAGTCAACAGTAGCATAGTAGTCAATATATGTATTTGTATGTGTAAGAGTCTCACATTCCATCATCATTGGCCATTGTCACTATTGCTGTACTTTGTTGTTGTCTTTACCTTTTCTTCCTATTTTTACTTTGAAACAATTTTGTATTTAGATTTGCCACATGTTCCTAGCTGGGGTACCTCAGTCAGTATAGTGACTGTGTATGGACTGGGACGACCAGGGTTTGATCCCCAATAGGTGCTAAGGATTCTTCCTCTAGCCTCTGCATCCAGACCGGCTCTGGGGCCCACCCAGCCTCCAATCCAGTGGGTATCGGGGTCCTTTCCAAGGGGTAAAGCATGGCCAAGATGTGACACTAACCACTCACCCCCATCTAGTGCTGAGGTTAGAATGAGTAGGAGCTATACCTCCACTCCCCCCAAGCGCCTAAAAGGCATATAATGGGACATCTTTACTTTTTTACTTTTACATGTTCCTAGCACTAAACTTTGAAAGTCTTTCCTTAATTATTCTTGTTCTGTCTAGGTCACTATTCTCATTATTTTACAGTTAAGCAAATATAAAGAATCTTTTGTTTTCCTTATGCATTATATGTCTCTTTACTTTACAGTTATCCTTATTTTTTGCTGTATCCTCATTTTTCAGCCATTATATTAAATATTCATTTCTGTTTCTGTTCTGAAAATGATATAAAACTAATCAATACTATTTATAATTACGTATATTCTCTTTCTAGTGTGCCAAGAAAACAAAAATTCTACTTTCTTTTGCATGATTTGCACTACAAACACTGAAATTAATTTCTCATTAATAACTTTTTATTTTATATTCAGGTTCTTGTGTAATTTCTTATCAGATTTATGAACCTACAAGGACTTTCTTCTTTTCTGTAATACATATGTATTAATTGTTGCACACAGACAAAAACATGAGTTGAAAAATTCTGAATATTTATGGTTTCATAATGTAAATTTCCATATCCATTTGAATGCCAAATGCAGTTAAGAAGTCGATTATTCAGTCATATTCAAAGTGAATCCATTCAGTGTTTGCATAATTACTAAAGCTGGTCACACACTAAGGTATATAAACATGTTGACTAAGCTCTTGGCTTATTCATTCACTCAATATCTAAATTCCGAAAGGCTGCAGAACCATCAATGTATGATATCAGAGAGATTGTATAATTGTGTAGGTTGGTAGAAGTTTTTGGAGGTACTTGCCATAAAGGCAGAGGCAGCAAGTACTATTCTTCCAAAATGTACAAGACGAACAGTAATAACATCCAGAATATACCCATCTTCATATTTTTTCTGTCGATGCTACATTACCCGTATAGTTGAAACAGCGTATTTAAACCCAGTATTCACTAATACTTTACACAATGAGGCTGTGTACTGAGTTAAACTGCCTTTGAGATCTAGTGACATGCTTTTGTGAACCTAAAAGTGGCGAATTTTTTGGTCAGTTATTCCTCAGATTTTGGGTGTCTGTGCTGTGACACTGTGGTTTCATAGGTAATTACTGACGTTTCGGAGGGGTGCTGCCTCAATTTCCCAGGTTATGTTGTCACGCTAGGACGGTAATTTGTGGGTTAGGTTAGGTGAGACATCAGGTAATTAAATAAGGAATGGTAAGATTACGTTGAATTTTTCATGTGAGAGGTTAATTGAGGCGAGACAAACTGATGGAGTTAATTTGCTACGGTTAGAAAATACTGGTTTGGAAAATGTAAGTTCTAAGGAAGGCTTTATATGCTTCTAATGAACGCTGCAAAGAACTCATGAGGAAATATGTATATTTCGGTACGGAGTAAGCTTTTTGGCTTGCTATAATTAATCTTCGATTTATACTTCTTCCTGGTAGCAGTAGAACTGTACCGTAATAACATAAAGTCTGTTCTACGAAGAGATCCATATATGCCTGCGCAAGGCGCGCCGCAAGTGCCAACATAGGCTAGAATAGATAGCGTTAGGTAGTCTTAAGTTTTGGTAATCTGTGCTCGAGCGCTGGTTTTTGTCGAGCAGTGTTCCCATGTGTATGGAATAGGTGCTGAATGCTTCGTTATGTAAAATATACAACTGTGTGTCACGTATGTAAAACATCTTTACGGAAGGAAGATTTACACAGCTCTGGTGTAATGTCTAAGCAGCATTCTAATAAAAAGAAATCCAAATGTGTTAGTATCCCACACTATTGCCAAATAAACAAAGGATGTGATTTATCCATGATGTTTCAATGTCGGTGTTGTCTGTTGGAAGTTTGTTGTAGACTAATTTTAAGCTTTGTTTGCTCGTCACCCTGGCCAGGCGCAGTTTTGATGCCTCCATCACAATCAAGTAATTGTTTTCCGAAAAATAATACGGTTCGTTCCAAGTTTGGATTATCGACGTGCACAATTAACCAAACGTAACGAAACCGAATATAACCAGGAATAAGCACCGTGGTGTTAAAAATCAGCCTTAATTTGTGATTTGGTAGGAGACCCAAATTTTTACAAAAGTTATACACAATCCATTATGCTACCCTAAAGACGAATGTAGAATTATTAACAATTTGAAAAGTAATGTAGGAATATTTTTAAAAAAGGCACATTAATCGTGCGAAGAATCCAAATCAAGTAGGGTCATTCCTTAGTAGAACATTGTCATGGGCCCAAAGTTGCCTCTGTTGCTTGAGGATTGCGTCATATAGGTGTATGGATGAGTGGAAATAAGGGTCCACAAAAGGGTAGACAGCATGTGAATGCCACTCAAGCTGTATGTATAGTATATGTACATGTTTGTATTCTTTGTTGGCATTTCCTATGTCTGCATTCCCATACATCTTAGTGTTGTAATGAACATTGATGTGATGCCAGAGAACGTGAGATTGCTAACATATGTATGTGGTAAAAATAAAGACATCATTGTGTTACTTTTAAATTGTTTTCTCTTATGTAACGTGTTATATTTCTTAACCCTCTGTATTCCCTCCAGTTCAGTGAAGAAATGAAGTAATAAGACCACATCACTAACCATAGGAAACAATGTGGGCAGCATTTCAATGATCATACTAGAAGGGATGATATTCTTCCTCAACACTCAGAGACATGTTGGGAGCAAATTTATGATAAACTACAAGGACTGAATAATGTGGAAATTGACAGATTCATTGTAGGAGAGGACTCCATGGTTGGCATTCATGTTGGAAGAGGCCTATGGAGCATGTTTCTGTGTTTACAGTGTTGATAAAGAGGGTAATATCGTCACAAAATCACTTCATTCAAGGTTAGGAGTAGTGTATTTCAAATGAGTGTTGCCCTGAAATTGGATCTCTGTGGGGGATTGCTGTTAGAAAAGTTGGTGAAGGAGTCAGTATTGGTGTTTAATCTCTAGTTGAACAGGATATACCTGTGGACATATTCACCAGTATACAAGAGTCACAATTTGATGGTCCCTCCTGCCAAACTCAGCACTGTCCATGTTGAAATGTCATTGGCCAATAGTCGTGTTTTTGCCAGGGAATGATTCTTTCTGATACCAATCTGCTTAAATGTACCCTGACTGCCAAAATTTTGCAACTCCACACTGCCATGTTTGTAATTCATTTTTCCACCTGAGCTAGGGCCTGCATTACAGATGAGAGCTGGCACCATTAAATTTTGATTGTACTATAATAGTGCTGATACTGGCTGCAGCTCCATCCTCAAGATAGAAAGCCTTTGTAGCCAGCAACGTTTCAGAGATCCAAGACATTATTGTGAGACTGTCTTTGTGGAGTTGAGCCACTGATGGACCCTTTGTTCATCTGCCAAATGATATATGAGTGTGTACAGGTAACAGTGGAATGAAACTGACATGCCTCTGCAGTTAGAAAGTGATTACAAACCACCTGAGCTATAGCACAGCTGATCCAAGGCATGTTATTAGCGTGACACCAAGTCACAACCGAACTGATGTCTTCTCAAGAGATACGTCTCTATATTATTATATGGCTGTCCACTCTGGTGGTTCGTTGGCTGTGACTTGAAGAAGCAGTGAGGCTGAAGAGTAGTTGTGCATCCAAATGCTAGCAATTGCTTGAAGCTAAGAAGATAAGTCTTTTGTATTATTTCTGCCATGGAAGACTTGTCTTCAGGATTCTCATTACTCAAACTACAGAATGTATGTACTTGGAAGATGGCTGTCTTCTGGGTTTTTGCGCTGTGTAGTGTGGTCGATGTTAACCAACGTTTCAGAGGTCATACTGCCTCCGTCATCAGGGCGATTCTTAGTGTGAAGATTTCTGTCTTCTGGGTTGTTGCGCTGTGTAGTCTAGTAGAAGATTACCAATGTTTCAGAGGTCCCTGCTGTCTCCATCATGAAGGCGATGCCAGACTACACGGTGCGACAACCTAGAAAATGGCTCTATCTGGACTCATCGCCATGAAAACCTCAAATCCGGCTATATGTAGTTGCTTATTGCCAGGGCTCGGGAAATGTACCCAATGTTTTAAGGGTAATTTTATTTTGTTTTTACTTCCTGGAAAAACAAAGTTCAACAGAGATTGTGCCATAGAATTGCTTCTTGTATGCAGTGGAATATATCTCATGACAAAGTGTAAGCATGGGTTGTAAAAAAAAAAGTGGAGAATGTTGTAGATACACCAAAAACAAGAACCAGTGATTGTACCACAGAACCAGAAATCACATGGTGTAAGTTGTGGTCCCCCCCCCCTCCTTGTTCTGTGATATGTTGAGCATCTAATAGCAAAGTGTTGCTTATTTCAGGAGACAACTCAGAAGTGCCAACCCATTGCTGATGGTGTAGTGTCAACTGACAAGCTTGGAAATGTTATTATTAGAATTCAAGCCAAGCCTGGTGCCAAGCAAAGTAATATAACAGGTATGACACTTTATAGAGCGGCATGAATGTGCATGATGCAGGAACTATCATTTTATGTTTTAGAACACTTTCCTGCACTATGCACAACCTTCTCATTACATTTTAAATATTTTCTAGCATTATGACAGTCTTGTAATATTAATGGTAAAGAAATGGTGTGAGAATATGGACACTAGATTCAGCTGGTTCACGTCAGTGGAAAATTCATGCTTGGTGTTGTTCTTCACAGATATTGGAAGTGAGGCAGTAAGTGTGCAGATAAATGCTCCTCCTGTGGATGGTGAGGCAAACACAGAACTTGTTCAGTATTTGGCAACTGTTCTTGGTCTCAGGAGAAGTGATATTTCACTAGACAAGGTAAGGATGATGTGCTACTCATCACATATATCAGCTCCTCCCATTGCATTGTTATGATCGGCACACACTTTGGTATTTTGTTTCAATCCACATTTCTTGTCACACACATTTTCCATTTCATCGTCATGTTTTCTGCCGAGCGTGCAGACATCTCTCTTGTCCCTCCACTTGAGCAGCACAAGTGTCTGTGTATGAAACTGTCTCTCCTCCTCCCTTCAGTTTACAGTATATTACATCTTCTTGAACTCCTTTCTGTTAGTTCTGATATTTCTTACTGCATTCAGCAAATTGAAATTCCAATTAAAAGAAATGGGGTCATGAAAGTGATCCACAGCGTTTAGCTCTGGTTTATGTTTACAGGCTGTCTAGGTCTAACAAATTTCCCCTACCAGATTCTGACAATGATACATTTGTGATGTATATTTATAGTCTGTCTTTTTACAAAATTCAGTTGTTCATTAGTTATCACCGTGAAAATAAAATCAAGTTTCTTTTTTTGCATTGCTGTTATGTTCTTGTTTTTTATTCTACAAGAAAATTGCCACAACAGAGCCATGTATAGCATCAGAATCCTGTATAAAGTGGCAGTAGCATCATGCCCCTTTAGACCCTGGCCACACGACTGTACAAAGTACGTCCGTTGCAACGGACGTACCTTTGTACAGACGTAGGTGAGGACACCACACGAGCGCTGTGTGAGGCGTCTGTTGCCCCAATGGAGCCGGAAGAAGCTGTTGCGTTCTGTGATCTTGCCCCTTCATAATTCTATGACGGACGTCACGATGTGCGTTACAACGGATGTACTTTGTACGGTCGTGTGGCCCCAGCCTCAGAAGTTTCTGTGGTCACCCTCTTGCTATAATTGATTGTAAGAAATTAAAATACATGCGGTTGGAATAGTTTCCAGTGACATCTTGTTTATGGAAAACTTTTTGAAAACTGTTTGGTAAGTTCAAAACCTTAAAATGACAGTGCTCAAACAGACAGTAGCATAAGTATCCTCTTCTCCCATCTTTTGGTAGTTGCTTTTGAGTGAATGAAGTGTAAGCTTAGCCTTCTGTCACCATATACAGCCCTGACTTATATTATCTGATAAATGGTGGACATGGGTGAGCACAGTGGAAAAAGAATGCTAAGTAATAATGAAATTCGTGATTCTAAATGTGGCACTTTTTTTTTGTTTCTAGGGTTCTCGGTCAAGACAGAAGAGAATTGTCGTGACACATGGCACTTTGACAGCAGAGGAAGTAATGAATAAGTTGAAACATGAACTGGAAACGCATTAAGAAAATCTATTATTGTTATTGACATTTTTGTTGTGTCATGAGAGGTGAGCATATCAGTCTGTTATTTAAAATTTGAGGTTTTTGTGGCAGTGAGAACGATGATGCTGTGATTCTAGTCTTTGACACTATATAGATTGATCTGTATCTGCCACTGACCATGGATGAGTCTATGCATTGCCAAGATCCAGGATAGCATCAGCAGATCTTTTATTAGGTTTCTTACTGGATGATGATAATCTGGTATTTTTGTTTTAACAATGATAATGAGAAAGATGTGGATGGATACATTCTCAGTGACAGTGTTGATTCCAAGAGAAGCACTGGATCATATTTATTTGTTGCATGAGAATACATGTTCAGCTCACACACTTCAGTTGAAGTGTTTATAAATTCTCTAAGTAATGGTTACACTACCAGTATCGAGTGGTTTGGGTCCAGTAACTGAACGTAAATGACAAAGACACTCATGAAGAATTATTAGTGGTTTGAACTAAATTTCAGGCGTAAAAAAGTTCTCTTGTACAATACATCATCCTTGAACCTGGCTTTCCAGGCTTATGTTTGTACATGATTTTCTTAAGCACTATTTGTATAATCTTGTTGCTAAATGCTGGATACAATTATGCAATTGAACAAGTGAAGCATTTCAGTCTTGAATAGTTGTCATATTTGTTATGCCATACATCGTCGTGTGTCATTTTCTCATTACTGAATTCCAAAAATAAAGATGCAGCCTTACAAAAAATCATACATATCTTTTAATCTGCTGACTCTAAAATTAAGAAATAAAAGTATACTCATGCAAACAAAACATACAAATTGTTTCATTTATAAAAGCCATATAAATCTGTACAAAAACTTGTTTATTTTTCTAATTAAAATACATAATTGTTGTTACTCATGTGACAAACACAAGCTTGCCGCATGTATACAACATTGGGGAATTTATTAGGCTGTTAAGTATTTATATATTCAATTTTTGTATGGTAATCCTAAAAATATCAGCACATGCATAATCTAACCTCTCACTTTTCACAGTTGAAACCAGTTTATGTAACCTTTCCAAAAATGGAAAACTCGTCTACAGAGCCAGTTCCAGATGTGGCTGGTCTGTAGCCATGCTAATTTTATAGCCTCAGGGCTTGGTATCCCTCTAAAGGCATTCTGAAGGTGGTGGCAAGTTCACTCATTTACAGTTTTGCACATTGTACAGAAACTATTTTAAAAGTATAGAGGAACAACTACCTCGGAGGGCCCGCCAGTAAGAGCCATAACGACATTCACTCCAGATTCTTCTGAAAGATTAGTAGGGAGGTATATTCTTGATTTGAATCCTCCAACAAGTACAAGGAAACATGCCAAAAAAAAGTGTAAAAAAGGACAAGAAAGAATGGAAAGACAGTGAGTGTAATGTTTCATTGTATCTGATGCCTTGTTTCTAAACATATCTTTCAGTCCCAGACCAATAAGAGAACAAATCGAAGTGTATAAGTAGTGTAAATAGCCATAAAAGTCCTTTGCAAGACTTTTGATTTGTGAATACATGTTGGAAGAAATTGTAAATATCAAAATCATTGCTTTTAGCTCCACTGATATATGCTCTTAGAAAGGGAGATGAGAGTAGTTGATTAAACTCAACTAGCTTACTAAGTATAGGTAATAAACCTGTACTTCAATAATAAATAAGACTCCAAAGTATTTCAAACTCATAAACAATCAGAAGAATTTATTGGGCTTTGGACATACTGATCCTCTGCAAATAATTTACTTACAATATAATAGAAAAAAGAGAGAATGAAACGTAAGAAAATTGACTGAGCATACAGAATAGTGAGTAGATAAGGATTTGGAAGAAGATTGTCATAGTTTATTTCAAGGTACAGAGTGGCGGATGAAATTTAACCGTTATTCAAATGGTACATATTAATCTGTGAACAGAAAGAACAATTCATGGAGATTTATCAATTACGGATTATGTGCTCAACATGACCACAGTTCTCTGTGCAACTTCCGAAACACGAACGGCTTCGTGATCACTTGACAGCATATACCCTCAATCATTTCGTCACACATTTATGTCCAGACTATTGTGTGACATTAAGCAACACAGTGCATAATTGGAATTCATGCTTTTCAGAACAAACAGTTACAAACTGGTTAACAGCGTTGACCAGTTTATCTGTGTTTTGCTTTCTTTGATGTAGGATCAAGGATAATATTTTTAATCACAGGTGGGATATTTCATGTGCCAAGTTATTGTATTAATGTCTCTCATCAACAGAGTTTTATCAGAATGTGTATTCACACATTTCCTATTAATTGGAATTAAATTTTTTACCAATCTAGCCGTCGGAGAGGGCTGTTGGGAGCAAATATTCTACTCCGACATGATGGCATACTCGTAGATTGTCGTTTACATATATGTTCGTTGGGTTGGTGACCGTGAACTTCTCCATGTTGTAATAAACACTTCAAAAGGAAGTAGATATCCGTTATTGTGTGTTGCATAGCTCTTTACAGTTGTTATTTTTCATTGAAAATTTAAAATTGATTGCGTACCCATATTGAGCAACAAGTTTTAATACTGAACGCATTAATATCTGCGATATTCACTAGGTCCAATTTCCACATCCGTAACGTTACGTCTTTTTCACAGAACTTGTAAGGCGCGATATAGGTACTAAAGAATTGTAAATATTGACAAAATGTCCGAAGATAAGAAGGTAAGGATTAGTTTAGTTGTGGGATTAAGAATCTTAAAAATATAGAATCTAGAATCGGTCTAAGTTGTTAATGTGTTTTTTGTTTTGTTTAATTTTTAATAGGATGTAAAGGGTTCAGAGACGGAACACATCAACTTGAAGGTTCTTGGTCAAGACAATGCAATTGTCCAGTTCAAGATAAAGAAACATACTCCGTTGAGAAAATTAATGAACGCATACTGTGATAGGGTCGTAAGTAATCTTATTTGCTTATGCATTTGATTATAACTTGTTTGGAAAGTATAAGTTTTGGGCGAATTTTAACGAACTACAATAGGTCTGTAACCTAACCTAATACGTTCTTGGATGTATGGCAGCAGATTGAAGAATACATTCCTCAAATAGGTGTGGGACCAGCGAAAAGTGTTGAATGCAAGTAAATCAATTTTTATGATATTGGTTAAACATGTAATTTCCAATTAAATATTGTGTCATGATCCTATTGTTAATATCAGATTTTCACTGTGAAGTTGTAAAATATTTTAAGTTCTAGAGTAAAGTTTTATGTCTATGTTGTTCCGTGTTTAGAAGTGACCTGTTTTGACAGCTCTCAGGTAATTGTTATGGTTGTTATTGTTTTAATGCATGTTACAGAGGTAAATATTATATGTATTGTACTTGAAATAGCAGTTCTGAAAACAACTCTCTAAGAAGACTGCGGTGAAGTAAACCAATTTTGAAGTATCTGCTGTAAACAGTGGTGTGACTGACTTCATGGGAAAGCATTCTTAACTTAATTTGGGGATGTATTCACTGTGCTTTTTCCAATTTAAGTTGTTATCAATTTGTAAGCCAAGGAATTTAATTGTTAATACTTCTTTTATTGTTTTATTATCATAACATATATTAAGGTGGCTGTGTTCTGGGTTGCAACGCCATGTAGTCTGGTAGAAGTTTATCGACGAATCAGAGGTCCTTGCTGCCTCCATCATCAGGGCACCTAGGATGTTTGTTCCATCACTTGGTGTATTTGTATGTTTAAAAACATTTACTTCTTCGCAGGGCATTGCCATGGCGACCATGAGGTTTCGGTTTGATGGGCAACCAATTAATGAGACAGATACCCCAATAAGTTTGGAGATGGAAGAGGGTGACACCATTGAGGTATACCAACAGCAGACTGGAGGAAGAGGACCGTACGTCACCTGCTGAAACTCAAGTCAGTTTTATAGTGCTCTCGTGTTGAGCCGCAGGACTCGTACAATATCGATTCTTCAGGTTTCATTCGTTACTGGGATTAAAAGTTCATACATTAATCCAAATGAATGCCATTTTGATGAGGACTAAATGAACAAGTGTTTAGGCTGTGGGAACTGATTAGTTATTATTTTGTTTTGTTGTATGTCAGTTTTCATGCCATGTAGTTTGGAGTACCATGTAATATGAGAGCGTGTCGAGTTCAGCTGTAATGTTGAATTTATTAATGCAAGATTTATGCGTACTTGAAAAATACCTTCTGTTTTTGTGGCTGTCAAACATTTTCTTTTTCTGGAAATACACAATTTTGGAATTCTTTTTTGACAGCCGCGTCTACCGTTAAAGATGTTCAGATTTCACGCATGATTTGTGGCGTCTAACTACTATTTATGTGAACTTTGTTAAGGATAATTGAATATTAGGTTTATTTTATCGCAACAAATGTAATATAGTGAAGAAATTATTATCCGAATTTTCAACTCTTAATTTTCGAATATATAAGAGTTTCACCGCTTCATAGATTTTACTTCATTAATGAAAGCCTACGTCACAGAAGTACATAGAAATTGAAGTTCAAATTGTGAGTTGTATGAGACAATTTGAAGGTAAGTAATTTCAGTGAATTACAATGCACATTGAGCCATATTATATCATTACAAAAATTGTATGGTTTATTTGTGAGATGCAGTGCTTAGTTGGTGTTGGTATGTAACACGGTTTTACAAATTATATAAAATGCAAGAATGGGCAGATAGTCATGTAAACAACTTAAGGAAGATGAGGAAGAAAGAATTCTTGAAGGTAATTACATTTATACAGCCTATGTTTTTGATTTTATCCTCGTTACGCACCACCCCACAACACATGCCGGACCTCTGAAAGAATATAATTTACCTAGACTGTAGAGAGGAACAGTGAACAGGAGGTCATTGGATCTATTCAGAATTGGTGATCCAAAGAACAAAGTAGTCAGCACACTAGATATTTTATTTGTAACAGGTACGCAGCTATTTACGTCTCCGTAATGTTCCGTTACCTCACAACATTACAATCGTATATCACATATATATATATATATATATATATGTAGTACACGTGAGTCCCCCGTCCAAAAAAAAAAAGACAATGAAAAGGACACTCAAGCCTGCCAGAATCAATAAATTACAAAATATTCCAGGGACCCATCTTGATCCTCTGCTTTTTTCTTACAACCAGAAAACCCACCCCTGAAGCAATTTTGAGCGAAAAATGGAGCAGACATTTTATGTCTGACCACCCAGTAGAGAATACCTTCTCCTGGGTCCTCATACGAAGCAGGAAAGCTGGAGAAGACCAGAGCGCACTCTCACAGGAAAATAAAGGTGGTCAGGAACAGGGTGACATAAAGAAAAGTAGGAAAGTACAGGGTGACAGGAGGAAATGGCACGTACTGTAATATATAACCCATTGTCATGATCCGTGCCATTTTTGGTAAACTTAAATGTAAAGTCTGTAAGCAGTAAAACCTGTATGTATAGAACTTCCTTATACAATATGCGTGAAATGAATGCATGTGGGGCTGGTCATGTCTGTCTGTCCACATGATACAACTCGAGAACGGATGGACAGATTTGGATGATGTCTGGTGTGGATGTTAAAGTGTACTTTACAATTGGTAAAACAAACTTCATTCTGTTGTTTTTTATATCACAGTTCATATTCCTTTCTCATTATCTTTGATTAATTTTGTCACCAACTTGACATTCTCATTTACTTTTTTTGCTTTCTTATTTTCAGTAGAGTTTTATTGTGTTTTTGAGCCATTTCACTAAGGATCCACAAGTGTTAAACTATCACTTTCATCTGAATAAGATTCATTACACAGTAACAATTCACTGTACATTGGTATTTGAAAATGACCAGTCACTTTTAGCATCCTGTTTCCGATACCATGACCATCAGAACAAAACTCCCACACCACCACTAATACTGACTGTAAAGCACAAAAAAAGAAAATACTGGACCATGTCATTTGGAACACCCACCCTAAAAGCAGATAGTATGATGTGAATGAGGATAAAAGCTTAGTTCACATGTGTCCCCGTTTATGTAAGAAAGCCATGCATGGATGATCGCAAGTTTACTGTAGTGTAGTTTATGAAAGGCAAAATATGAGCAGTGCTTAATTCTTCTGTCATTCCATAAGTAGAAGCATCAGCATGTCATCAACGGCCAGAAAAGTTTTAAATCAAAGTATAAAATGTGTCACATATTTGAAGTTTAAAATGGACGTAACTGTGCACGTGCCCGTAACTGTTAAATACTATTATTCATGTTGTTTGCAGTCTACAGTTTATGTTGTTCTTGGATATGTGAAGGATCTGTTATGTAACTACCACATTAGTCCATTTTTTCACATGTACAAGACGAGTATTTCTTTGGTGAAGTTTAATGTATAATTAAAAATGACAGATTTGTAAATTTGCCATTGATATTTGTAGTACTCCTTAATTATGTTTATTTGGTCATAAGAGAGGAACAACTTATTCTGATGAGTATAAAAGGAAAACAAGGAAATTGAACAAACTTAGATACAAGCAGTTTGTGTCAGACGTGTGAAAATGCAGTACTCATATTTTAATTTTTTGTGCTTTTGCATCTTTGCATTACAGCTGGATTATGAGCATACTCTGTAATTTAGTGCATTTAAATCTGTTCAGTAATGGTTTAAACAGTTATGCTGTTATCAATATATAGCATTTAATTTAATCCAAATTATTTTTAATTCATATTTTTTCTGTGGTACTCCAACATGCTAGACTCTCCATTTGAATATTATACCTTGTGTTAAAACAGTGTTCTGCACAGAGCAGGTAAGTCATAACAAACCATGTGTATATATTTTTTATGGTACAGTAACTGGTAAGCTTGCTTTGTGGCAGTGTCAGAATCCTAGAAACTAGTAATTAAATATAAAAGAGACCTAACAGGATACACCTGTATGTTGCTTAACTTTGAATTAAGTTGTAGATAATCTTGGGAAGCTTGTAGAATGACTTTTGTGAAGTGGATACCAAATGTACTTGGTGGTTCTCAAGGTGTAGTCAAAAATGTAAGAAGAAGAAGAAGAACCAAAAGAGGAACTGGCGTGAAGTGGAGCTGGAAGCGTCATTCAGTCAGTTGTGTCTTAATGTGCAATATATCATTGTTACATTCAAGCACATTTCATTTATTTGATTATGGCACTAAGTAGAGTAGCTTAAGTGATCACGTAGAAAAGTTTTGAGAACTCAAGAGTAAATGATAATTGTTACTAGCTTTCTTCATGTTTATGTTCGTTGAGTGACGGTTCCTCTCTCCCTTCTCCACCTTTGTTTTGCCGAAGATACTTTCCTCTGATGAAGAATGATGATGCTGAAATACTTGTTGGTTTATTAGTCAACAAATGATCAATCTTTAATGCTTTTCATTTATTTAGAAGCTAGGAGTGAAGTTAAATAGACACTTAATTTCCTGCGGATGGCACACAGTCATAACGCATTATGCTCGTGCACTGTACACAGTGAATTGAAAGAAAGTGTATGTTTCAAGTTTTACTGTAGTAGACTTTAACCTGGAGAAAAGAAGTAGTTATCGAGTAAAATGGGCACTGGTATTGCATGTGATGAATTTCTGCATAGCAGTTATTGTAATTGAAAGTAATTTAATTTCCATAGGTACTTTCTAATATTCATGTGTTTTTTTAAAATTATAAGTTATTGAGGATTCTTGGACTTCTGTGCGAATACCTTCAGTCAGAACGTAATGAAGCTACCTGTTTCTCTCAATGTGTTTAGCTTTTAAAGAAATGGGTTGTTTTCATTCGTCTTTGTTTGATCAACAGATCATTGACCAGTAATCAGAACATTTTATAAACGGTTGATCCGAGGTAAACATTAATAAACACTTTTCAATAAATGTATTTATTTATTATTTTAAAAAATGTGGGTCCTTCCTTTCAGAGAATACAGACTACAGGTGTTCAAGCACAGAATTTAGGATGTTACATAATGAGTAACTTTGTGGTGTGTACAGGTAAACTAGGAAATTAAGGAGGGCTGGGCTTTGCATGTGATGTGAAAAGATTTTGGAAGATTGAGAAGTGGGAGGGTAACATTAAAATAAATTGGATGCATTATGAGGATAAGAGGATCATGTCCAATAGTGGGTGTTTCAAGTTCTGCTGCTATATTTTTATAGACATGCTATCATAACCTTATGGTGTTATAAAACTCATGGAACTCATTCCTGACACATGTTCTAGTTGTGAGAAAATAAATTACATTGACATCAGAAAACAATCAAGAAAAAACAGTGTTATTTAATGTTGACAGTCAATAGTAGTGGATATCCATTGTCTGAAGCCGAATTATTGTGGGACCGATATGTTATTTGTATGCATGTAATGGTATTGAAAGCATCGACAAAATTTTTGGATCTTTTGCTTTTTCATTGTTTGTAAAAACAGAAGAACCCTGTTCAGTTAAATGTATTTTTCGAGTCAACCTTTTTTTTCTAAAAGTTTATGATACTTAATAGAGAAAGCTTTTATTATTGGATTATCACTGTTCCTGCTGTGTGTTTGTAAGATATTTCTATTCATGTTGGTATCATTGTTTTTATGAACAGATTCCCAAGTTATTTATTAATAGAAGCTGAATTTTCATGATTGTTTCATCATTTATTTTTCTGCTGCTCTGCTCCAAAAGTACTATGAATTTCCGACTACTTTACGGTTCAGTACATATCAGTGGGGGATATGGATTGAGATGTTTGAAGTGCTTCTTTTAATTTTGTAAATTTTAAGGAACTCTTGTGGTGCAAGGATAACTTCAACTGATGGATATAATTATGTGAAAATTGTTATACATTTGCTCATTTTTACCCCAAAGATGGATCACGTTTCTCTGAGACATGAATCAAGTACTATAGCAAGGTTTAAAAATTATTCATGGTATGTGTTATGTGGAAAGTTGAAGGGTAGTTACCGACTGGGTTATTGTCACGTAATCCTTTTATTTATTTGTAAATTATTCACAGGGCGCAGCACAATACGCACGACGCTATATTGCCCACCAATTGCACTGGAGTTTCACATGAATTTTTTATCTGTGGATCAGAAGCAAGCCCGGAAGTAGGGTACTGGCATCGTCGGTGGGTTTTTTTATGCTTGGTGTTGACGTCCGTAATACTATCTTTCAAACGAATAACGCAAATACGTCTGTGGTTTTGAACCGAATAAATGTATGTATTCAATTATTGTTTTGAAAGATTCTAATTCTTAGATACTTTGTTTTGTTTCAATTTAGTCGATAGTCTTTTATCGTTAGTGGCCATCCGATAATCAGGTCTAGCCTGACATTTAAGCTTGTGGTAAGAACACATTGGCAGTTTCTGAAGGGCATGTTATTGAATTCACCTGCTTGGCTAATATTAATTTGTCAGTTTTGTAGTGTATCAGTTCGAGCACAGTTAAGTTTAAGTTTGAAGTTAAGCTGAAAGCTGTAGCGTATTTGTTATCGACGGCTAAATTTTGGTCACTATTTTGCGCCAGGTGTGCCTTGACGCAGAAGGCGAAAATGTGTAATGCATCTGTTACAGGTGCTTTTAAATTATAGATTCATGTATTGTGTACTTCACACGTATAAGCCAATTGGAAAAGATGTAATCCAAAACCGTTTCGTGAGAAATGGAGAACTAATATAATAGTATGAATTGTACTTGTAACGCTACCTAACCCTACTATTGTGTTCTCCAAACATGGTAGAGGTGTTTTGTACCTTCACAGTATCGAAGTGAAGTTCTGAATTGCAGATGCCTGATTAAGTATTTCTGTTCGAAACACGGTATTAGTTAAAAATACACATAATTTAAAACTAAATTTACAAAAATATGTATTCGAGAATAGTTGTATTTAATACAATCCATATTATGGTCTCCTGTAAGCAAAGCTAAGTGGTACAGTTCTGCTTTTTTAATATTCCAATTTTTTTTCAGCATTACAGCTATGATTATACCAATACGCTGCTTTACATGTGGGAAGGTAATAGGCAACAAATGGGAAGCATATCTAGGATTGCTACAAGCAGAATATACTGAGGGGTGAGTGAGTTTTTTGTACAGCCCAGTACATAAATTGACCACTTTCTGCCAATGTTTTTAAATTTGCTGCAAAAAGAGGATACATCATTTACATGAAGTTATCCAGGCTTACATTATGTTATAATGAAGTGTTACTTTCATTTATCATATTGTGCTCATCAGTGAAGTGATTCATAATTAATACTTCTCATTTTCCCTAGTATTATTTTTCCATGCTATTTTCAGTACAATCTTTTAATAATATTATGATGATCAGTTGTTTCTCTTGCAAAACATTGTTACCTTGCAGGTGCCTATAAATGCACCAATAAAGTTAATGTTTAATTCTGTGTGACTTTTTTAAAATTTTCCAACATGCTTGAATTTGTATTCTGTTTTTGGTGCATACACACAAAAGCAGATAACTCAGACCAGTCTGACTCTTTGGCCTTTGATAACAGAGTTAAATGCCAGTGATCCAGTGAGCAGTGTGAATCATTATGTGACTTCAGACGTTAATATAGACAGAAGTTGCGGCAGTCAAATGTCAGTCACTGCAAGTTGTTTGCTGTCTTCGGGTTGGCAAATTAGTTATATCAGAATAGTTTGTAAAAGGTGCAGTGACAGTAAATAAAACTTTAATTCAGATATGATAAGGTAATATAAAATAAAGAATAACTTTGTGGGGTGTTGATTAGGACGTTTTCTGAAAATTGTGTGTGAATTGTTCAGTATTTTCACAGCTTCTGTATCGTCTTCACTGTCGACTTCTTTGTTTGAACTTCGTAAATTGTAAGTTTGGAATACATTGTTTTGAGATATGCCAGGATAGTACATTCACGTATTTTACTGCTAATTGTATCATTATTTGTCCTAGTTCCCTGTTCGTAATCTTAGAGCAACAAAATTGTCAGCTTGAACTATTTGTTATAGGGATGCCCTTGATGCCTTAGGACTGAAGAGGTACTGCTGCCGGAGGATGCTCTTAGGACATGTCGATCTTATCGAGAAGCTTCTTAACTATGCCCCTCTTGAGAAGTAACTGAAAAACCTGAAGCTGTTGGAGAGTGATCAGGTATGTTCAAGGAGATAACTTTTTAGTTGTCGCAGATACTTTTTAATCAGTTGTTGAGACTTAGAGAAGTCTCAGTGCACCACGGCATTGAAATCTGAGTATATTTTGCCGTTCTGCAACAGCGATATCTTGTTCTACCTTGTTTTGCTTTCTTGTCGGCCTGGCTGCTGCGTCTCTGTTAAATTGTGTGTGCTGTGATTAATATGGAAAGTAGAAGTTTTCTTCTTGGTTGTTATTTATATTTGAATTACTATCATGCCTTATCTGACATGCAAAAGGAACTGCAGTGCATGCAGCAGGCTCAGATAACAAATTATTAAATGATAATGGCCATCAGAGTAGTGACTGGCTACGAACTGGATGACAGGTTCGATTCCCCACGGCCAGAGAATTTTTCCATTGGCCTCTGCATCCAGGCCAGCTCTAGGGCTTACCCAGCCTCCTATTGAATGGGTACGAGGGTCCTTTCCCAGGGGTTAAGTGCGGCCAGGGCATGACACTGGCCACTCACCCCTATCTGGTGCCGAGGTTTTTATATATATATATATATATATATGTGTGTGTGAAGATTTTTTCTCTGTTCATTCTCAAAAATTCTAGTCTCTCACATGCTTAGTTTTTCCCAGTGTTGCATTTCTAACTTTGGAATGTGTAGATTCTTTTCTGGTATGTACAGAGTTAATTATGCAAACCAGCGCAGACAAATTGCCATCTTGTGGCTCAGAACAAACCTTAATTACACACAAGACGTAAGTGAACAATAAAATATTAAATATTTATTTGCCATTAATTATGCCAGCTTGAGTTAATTTTTGCTTTAAATATTGAATGTTGTCTTTTATTAATTGCTCAGATTTGAATTAAATTATCAATAACTGCACGTAACATTTCTGTAAGACACTGTTCACAATCGGTCGTCTGCAGCAGAATGCTTACTGCCGATTCTGACCGCGGTGTCCGGCGACCACATGACTCGACTACCTTGCACACCTCACGTCTGGGAGGGAAACACCGTTAACTCTCTGTTATTGTTGAATACAATGTGTTTCATGACATTGTTTATAACAGAGTAATATTATAATTCTGTTTTCTTCCATAAGAAATGGCAAAGCTTATTAATGAGGAAGTAATCAGTGCACTTGAAGAACCTGACTGAACAGGATTTTAATGATTCTGAAGACGATCGTGACTGTATTGTTGAGAGCGGTGATTCTGATTCTTCTAGTGATGAGTCAGTCGAGGACAGATGTTCGTGAAGTTTCCTTACAGTTGTTGTTCACATTTCTTCACGTACTGATCAATGAGTTTGACACATGAAGCATAGACGGAATGAAGTTCTCACGTCAAATGCTTAGAAATCATGTCGCTTATGGGATGCACCTTCGTAATGTGCTAACAATTGTCTTCCTTCATTCAGCTGCGACTGGTCAGGTAATCCATGCATGAGAATTCTCTGATAAAATCAACCTTTTCTAGGGACAGACACAAACTTCAGTTGTCAAAATTGTATTTGTGCTGCCAAACTGTGTTGTTTGGAGGAGCTGGTTTTATGCCCAAAGATGCAGATGTTTGCAGAGAGTTGATGATACAGCGACTAAATTCAAGGGGAGATCGTCCATCAGCCAGTACCCGCACTGAAGCTGGTGAAAAGAGGCATAAAAGTACTTCAGAAGGAACTCAACTGAGAGCCCAAGAAACCACATGTGGACTTCCTTGTTGAATTAGCAGAATCACGTAATCTCAGTCAAGTCCTCTTCGCCTCAATTTTTTTAAATTCAGGTGTCGGAAATCATCCACCCTAGTACCCGTTTACATTTACAGATCTTTCAGCTTCTGTTTTCTCCTTTTTCAAGCACAGAATCTTCCTTGAAATATTTGTACTCGGTTAGTCAGGAACGCCCTGCTTTTACGAGACCCAAAAGTTCGTCACCATGTTCACGCCATCCTGCCATTCAGCCGTAACTTAGCGGTCAAATAGTCATTGGCTTCATGCATAATTTCTCAAAGCTCTGTTTTGAAATTTTCATTCTGTCTAAACCCAGTCGTATCTTTCCCTGAGGTTTTCTGGCTAAAAATTTTATTTGCATTTCTCTTGTGTGCTACATGGCCTGCTCATCTCACTATTCATTAAATAATCCTGTGTATAACACTTTTATTAACCAGTTAAATTATGTTAATCATACACAAGTTGTTCAAAATACCAAAATTTATTATTTTCTTTTTAGAGCCAGACAGAAGCTTCAACGCATGCCCAAATTCATCCGGTTCTACGCAGACTGTCGTGCTTCATAGAAACCACCAAAGTTCTGAGTCTTGTCTGTAATTGCTGGATATTAGGAATGTAAGATATTTAAAATACATAATCAAACACAAACAGATAATTTAATTAAAAACTGGGTAATTACACACTACATTTCCAATTAATCATACAAAACAGGTATTTATCGAACGATAAATTAGCTAGAGTGTTGTGAAGTACGTTCTTTTGGCTGGAAATCTACTATGCATTGAAGTTTTGAAATATACATACTTTAAAAAGTAACACGGAATAATTTCACTTTCATCTTCCCGTTTCAAAAAACAAAAACTTTCGTATCTAGATGGCAGTTAACCCTTTACATTATAATCAGGCTTTCCATCGTTTAAAATTTCTCATGTGTTGCCGTGGCATTTCTCGACTGTTAATCCTCATGCGAACTTCAACTGATTTTCTTCATCCTATAGTTGGTACGCGTATCTGAAGAAACGTGCCGTCGGTGAAATCGGATCACCGTCAACTATAGTGGCAAAGCGAATAGCTCATGTACTCCGATGTCTGCCGTGGCATTTAGTGTCAAAATTGATTTTTGATAGTCTGACTGAATTTTGTGAGCCGTTGTTAGAGACGCAAGCTTTTTCCATTTGGAGGTAACTGTTTTGTTAAAAGGTACAAAGATCAGACGCACGAAAATGACCTTAAGAGAGAAATTTACGTCACTTTTTATATACAACGGCTTTCCACGTTCCTCTCAGTTGAAAAGGCATCGTTAATTAGGGCATTACTAATTTGAACATGAGGTTGTGATAATGAAAGAAATGCGACTGTCAATGAACAGAGCTTTGATGAAATAAAAGTGTTTTGTAGTGTTCATGTGTGTTCAGGCCCACTTTCATGTGACTGCACCGTGCTTTAATGTTTTAACAAGAAATTTCTGGACCACACCTTATTTTTGACAGTGGTTTACTCATTCAGGAGTTATCTAGTTCAAATCATTATTGGGTATCAGTTGTCACTAGGCTTTCCTCAGTCATTTTCGATGAAAAAGAAATACATCGAATAAAAATAAATCCCACTTCAGCTGCAGGGCAATGGGTTAATGCATCTATCTCTATCAGGCTTTCCAAGTAACTACGCGTCGCCCCATTTCTCGACATTCGAAGTGAAGACAAGGCAGTTGGGTTTCACTGCCCGTTTTATAACCAACCGTGAAATGGGACGGGACCAAGACATGTTGGCAGCTAGCGATATAATTCAACGAGAAAGTGAGGCTCTTGGATAATGCCAGTGCGTTGTATCTTAAAAGACGTGCAATCATCGCTTTACATTTATTAAATAGATTTAGGTATTTGTTGGAATACTTAGTATAAAGAAAACACGCTGTATACTAAGATGGCTGCCTTCTGGGTTGCAGCAGCATGTAGTGTGGTCAAAGTTTACAGACGTTTCAGAGGTCCTAGCTGCCTCCATCAGGGCGATGCTTTGCCCCTATGACGGAGCTGCCGTGCTACGACCCAGAAGATGGCCATCTTCGGACTCACCGCCGTGAAAATCTCGAGTCCTACTTATAATGTTTACTTTTGGCCAATTAGGGTTGTAAGTTAAATTTTAAACATATTTTAAAAAATTAGCCACATTTCCATCTAGTGCAGAAGCCAGAAAATGTATTGGCTGACAGTGTCCCCTATATATGTTACAGTGTATAATAACATTCCGCTGCAAAAAGGACGGTCCACTCGTAAAACAGCCAGAATCGAAGCAGCTCTTTTTTGTACCAGCGTTACTGAACGTGTCGAATTTGGCTATGTGGCAAGTATTCTTTCCTTTATTCCGCGTTTCCTTCGTTTCATTTTTTAGTTTGCATATTAAGTCTTTTCAGTCAACAAGATTCCATTCTTCCAAAGTCCATATATTTTGGGGGGGGAAAAAAAAACAACAAAAAAACCCTGCATTTGAAGAAATACTTACTGCCCAGAAAATCACTTAATTTTGACATGAATAGATACAAAATTTCTGTAGACTTGTCTCTCAAACACTGAATATAAGATTGTGCAGATTGACGTTCATGAGACTTGACTCCCCGGACCTTTCAGTGCTTGGTGCACTACTAATCTTCCAAGACTGTCGTTCTGTGTAACATTTGTTGTAGGCACATATTAATAGAATTCTTGTTTCACAGATAAATATTGTCATTTTTCATTCGTATCATCAAAATCATTTACATTCATATGCTTTACCAGATAGGAATTTTGTGTGTAAAATAAACAACTGTTTTTTCCTCATGGTTGTTTTGCTGCACATAAGTAGTTTCTTCTTGTCATCATGCCACCCACTTAATTTATCTTACATACGGAAGAAAGTGCTGTTATATATGCATTACAGGTCACAACTGCGCTTCCTTTTCATTCACAAGGGGTATACAAATACTTAATTGCAAGAAAGTGTAGAAGCATGTGGATAAAATTACAGATTGTGCTAAATATGTATAAAGTTATGAACATAACTCATACAAACTTAGTAAAGGTAAGGCTGTTCCACTATACACCATGTAGGCGCTAGTGGGGGGGGGAGAGGTTAATAGCTCCTACTCATTCTTAACCTCGGCACTAGATGGGGGCGAGTGGTCGGCGTCATGCCCCAGCCACGCTTTACCCCCCAGGAAAGGACCCCGGTACCCATTGGACACGAGGCTGGGTGGGCCCCAGAACCATTCTGGACGCAGAGGCTAGAGGAAAAATCCTCTGCCCCCATCAGGAATAGAACCCTGGTTATCCAGTCTGTAGCCAGTCACTCTGTCTGAGCTATGCTGGCTCACATCATACAAATATAGGAAATAAAAAATGTATTAAAGTCTTCGGAATTGATCTGAAATGCTGGTTTCCCTTAACACCGCTTGTCTTAACTGCAGGAAGAATATTGGACCGATTGGTAGTCTTTCAGTATGAATCCCATTTACGGTTCTCGGTGTATACTGACGTCCAACCACTCTATACATTTTTACGTTTCGTTATTGTTTGCCGGTACAGTTGAATGCAAATATCGTCTTGCCACAGCAATGACAGTGGGGCTCGTAAAGAAGGGAAGAATCATAAGAGGTTTCGTTACTATACTGAGGCCACAGAAAGAAGTCGGAATCCTTCCTTTCTCCTTTAAGCTGCTCTTCCTTCTCAGCCATGTTATCACGTATTCAATTCTAGCTATTCTGTTCATGAACAAGAAGTGCTTTGGGCTGGAGAGGGGAACCTCGAGTGGCTTCGTCCCCAGTGCCCACGCGACTTCTTTCTGTGGCTTCAGTATAAGGTGATTTTATATCTGAGGTGCAACAGCCTTGTGTTATTAACTGCGTACACATTTCATGATTCTGGCGAATCAGTATAAAGTTTCGCAATTTCTTTTATGCTAGTGTAGGAACCAAAAACCAGTGCCATCAAGCCAAATATGCTGACTATAACGTTCTTCCAAAGTCTCCAACGCCCGGGTCCAAGTCCGTGGTCCCAGAATGTGACGACCTCTATGAAGGCCGGCACGATAAGCCCAAGAATCGAGAAGCACAATGCGCCGATAAGACTGATGAATGGGCTTATTGTGGGAACAGCTACAGCCAGCACAACTATAAGAAGGAATAAAAACAGTTCACATTTCTGGGTGTCCTCTATAGCAATCTGAAAAGCCACGTTACGGGATTTAACTTAATTTACGTACCCCTGACACAGTCACTTCTGTGATGTTCTGTCGTGTTTTAAAACGGACTACAGCGTTTTTGATAGTACTTCAGACGCTTGTATGGAATGTATGTAAGAAAAAAAGTAAAGCTGTCCCACTATACGCCGTGTAGGCACTTGGGGGGGAGTTGTCAGCATCATGCCTCGGCCATGCTTTACCCCTGGGAAAGGACCCCGGTACCCATTGGATAGGAGGATGCGCGGGGCCCCAGAGCCGGTCTAGACGCAGATGCTAGAGGAAAAAATCCTCTGCCCTGGTCGAGGATTGAACCCCAGTCGCCCAGTCCGTAGCCAGTAACTATACCGACTGAGCTATGCCAGCTCACATAGAATGTATGTAAAAATCAATATATGTTTTGATTCCCAAAAACTTGCGAACACTTTGATAATTACTTTGGATATCTTGAACCATCAGCAGTGAAACTGTTAACTGCCGAAATAAGTAGGGATATTGAAACATTTCCAATCTACGAAACAAAAGCTGCTGAATGTAATTGTCTCAAGTATAGAGTAACGAAAGGACGTTTTGCCCATAAAGTTTTGAACTGCTACAAGATTCAAGACGGGTCACTCACTTGTTAAAACAACGAGGAATGTCCGAATGGCGTATTCTGATATCACGGGACGCTTGGTGAAAGTATCCTTGACTCCGTTCCAAGCGATTTCAAGGCACACGTAGAACTGAAGGCCGTACGTGCAGTAAACTGCAAGTGCGATCAAGATCTTCACTGACTGCGCAGGTCTGAAACAAAAGAGTGGGCTCGTCTTTGTCACAGCTGAAACAGTTACAATACTTTATACAGTCACAGAATAATCTAACTAGCACTTTGGTGTTACGACGCGAATGTTTAAAAGAAATTTCACCACATGACAAAAACCTATTTTCCGTCCCAGCGACTTAAGTTCGTCTGTAAGTTATTCAACCCTTTGCGTGTTTTGTTTAAAACACCAGTGCATTTATCTTAGAGCATTTCTTCCAGTTACTGATATCTTAAATGAGATTTTATTACGTTATCAAATTTATATCCACCACTGAGGTTATTTTATGTTGAAAGATTATTACTTCAGACGACAAGTGCGGACATCTTACAGCTAGGCGAAGTAAATTATGCTCACATTTCATCGAGAGGAAGGTTCAGGGTGATACTTCCTTCAGTTTTTTCACCATATTTCAGATAACCCAAAAATCCTAACAGGATGTAGATCAAAGTCACACCAGCCATCCCTTGGTTGAGAACTCCACCCAGACCAAGGAAGTGACGTGGTGATTTCATGTTGTTTTCCAAAGGCATCACCTGAAACAAAAGTCGGGCCTAAAACACACTTCAGAGCACAAAGGGAACGTTTGTCTGGCACAGCTGATGGCAAATCGGGTGTCTCTCCTTGTAGCTCTTGGTGGCAGACCGTCATGGACAAAGGTGACGACAGTTCGCGACTGTAATCTTGAGACTTGCCGTTAACGCTTCGGACTTCCTGTATTCCTTGCGAGTCTCAAGATTACAGTCGCGAACAATACCATTAATGTTTTCCAGACAAAGCCAATGTAATGGTTGGTCGGGACAACAGACCTTTGCAAAAAGTGACGTGACGAAAATTCTGTTTCGCATCTGTCACATCTCAAATGCGGACCAACGTTTCAGAGGTCCATGCTGCCTCCATAATCCCAGAAGACAGCCATCTTCACTACTTCAGTGTTGAACTCATAATTTTACCTCTGCCGAATCTGATTCCTTAATTTTCTTGCAAAATCTACTGTGAATCTCGTCAATTTTCATCAATTCATTATGCACTCCCCATAATTCACTCATCATTTGATAAATATTTTCGTAACATTGATATCAGGTATCCTAGCTGCTTATCTATCGATACGTCCTGTCTAAAACGTGATTTATTGGTTCCACTTCACTTGGCCTTCTTCAGCAAGTCAAGTGTGCCACTTTAATCTTCTACAAGTTAATCCCGTCTGACAACTGAATTATATCTATTGATGGGGAAGGGAGATATGGTTTAGACCAGTGGTATTCAACCTGGGGTACGCGTACCCCGGGGGTAAGTGAAATTTAAAAAATATATATTATTTTATTATAAACACTGAATAATCAGTAATGTAATTTATTTAATTTATTTTAGATGTAGATTATATACTATGTATAACTTGAATTATACACCAACAACTTTGGGGGTACAAAGTTGAAGAGAAATTATGAGGGTACGCGAACAAAAAATGGTTGAATACCACTGGTCTAGACCAAGCCATGAAACTAATTCCCACTCACATTTACCCTACGAGGTGCGGAACTGAAAGGAACACAGCAAATTATCAGGGCTGAGGTAAACAGACGGTAGGTGCTCCCTCGGAATTGCGAAGTGTTACACTTCATCTCCGTTGCAGTTTGTTGTACGAGCCTGGTATGAATATTTAGACTGCAATGTTAAAAAAGACCCCCTTCGTGGTTGGCAAGGACTTTCCACCATTAAAACACCGAAGACAATTATTTAAAAATTCTAAACCTCGCGTTTAACACTGAAGCGTCGAAGAAGCATGGCTGCTATCGAATATTGTTGAAGTTATTAAATCGATAAGATTGAGGTAGGGCGGGACATCTGTATTTTGAAACGTCTTACAAATGAAATGTTCTCAATCGTTATTATTACGTCATTTACATATCGTATAGGTTATGTTAACGGTAGAAGATTATGTAAATTGTGATGGTTGTTCAGAAAGCAAGTCCTGGAAACCGGAGTTGTAAAGTTCACGCTGGCATAGAGCACCACAGTTCAACGACTGGTCGTGGCGTTTTGCCAGCCGTGTTTTATTTGAACGAAAGTCACCACCCGGAACTTCCTTTATGAAGAGCCTTTGTTTTACTTACATAAATAAAACATTGTAGTTGGTCTTACACTACCTCCGGATTATCACGTGTATCAAACCGAGGATTCATATCTTATTCAAGTAGGGGAAGATTTTATTTTGCATCTCTCCACTAGTATTGTCAGAATCCAGGCGTAGTTACATACGTCCGACTAAGATTTTAAAAAATTGCCTTCCTCCAATTTGAAAGTAGATTAATATAGCATCAAATAAATGTCTCAGATTCTTATTAGTACAAAACTAGTAACTTCATATGAATTTATGTACAGATCACAAATTATATGAGGAACTTTAAACACATATTTGGTATAAAAATCAGAATACGAAAGTGTTGGCTCAAAAAAAAAAATCCCGTTCAGTAGTCGGGGCGAATCTGTGCGTTCCACGCCCGTAAGAAGTAAAAGCAGTGGGATCAGAGGAGTGGGACATAAGGAAGAATATACAGTCCATATAAAAAACATTATTTCCCAGCGGCAGTAATTTGTACCTCGCTGTCTCAGTGTCAGGAATGTTTTTGGTTTGCATAGTATATACGTTCGCTTTCCTTCCAACTACAAACTAATGACGCAGACAGAACGAATATTTTGGTCCCGGCTACTATAATTCGTAGTATTTGAGGTTTTCACGGCGGTGAGTCTGAAGATGGCTGTCTTCTGGGTTGTTGCGCCGCGTAGTCTGGTAGAAGTTTACGGACGTTTCAGAGGTTCTTGCTGCCTCCATCATCAGGGCGATGACTCATCTACTATCGTTGAATTCTGCACTTAAAAGTGTTCCGCTGTCGCCAATAACAATAAGTACAGCCTCGTCATGATCGTGCCCATTTGTTTCAACCTAGAACTGGCACGTGGATGACGTGCCTGCCCGTGCTGAAACGCTCGATAATTGGTACGCAGACTGAACAGGGTCCCTGTCGTCGAGCGAGGGCAATTAACACTGCGGTCCTTGGCGGTGGACGACCCCGTCCGTGTATTTATGGACGCACGGGTAGTGTAAGATTCTCTATTTCAGCCGATCCGGTGCTGGCAAGGAGCCCACGGACGATGTCGGTCCCAGACGAGTGCCTCGCGCAGTGGCTTTCCGTTCGCCCAGTCCTCGGTTCGAATTCCGAATGGGCGTGCATGTGTGTCCGTCAGAGAACTTTAAAGCATTTTACAACAGAATGGTCAACTAAAAAGGTTTTTTTTTGTGTATAGTGTAACCAAAGCATCTTGCGATTAACTAGTTATGCGTCTTCAGATTGGTGAGACAAAACACGTTAGAGAAATTTCTTGAATAGGAGACCGCTTCGAAATCAAAGAAAATTATATTGGAATGGATCTTAGAAAGTGGCGCATTCTTAAGAATGTGTGTGGCGGGATGGCCTGGCAAGAAATCCCACGTTGAAAGAAATGGACCATAAATATTCTCGTTCTTAGTCACAGAGATAGAATTGAACGATAAACGACCCACAAAGAAAGAAACAAGTTGGAGAATTTTATGAACAGAGCCCACACTTTCGTATGATCTCTGACAATTCAGCAGACTTTTGGAAATAGTTACGAGGACGTGGACATCGCAAGGGGTCGAAAATCGGTTACTCTAAAGTACCTCTGAAACGTCGGTAAATATCAGACTACACGGCGCTACAACCCAGAACACAGCCAACTTCAGACTCGCCGTCCTGAAAACATTAAATCCTCGTTATGTGCATTAAATTTCGATAAGTTAAGAATTGCCGTAAAATGATAGACGCACTATCAATTTAATTTCTCATGTGACTGCGCTGAAGTGCGTCGATAATGATGCAACCAAATCGATTAGAGTTCCCAGCATAAGACGATAAAATTCTCACGCGTCAGTTTCGAGTCCTGCATCGCAATTTGATTGACGCTTTGCTGATAGAGCAGAACGGAATGCTTAAAGATTCCAAGGTAAAGGTCTCTGGTGCTTATCTAAGCTCCACCTTTTTTTTTGGGGGGGGGGATAGGTTCACGCCTTCGGCCACTTTACACCAGAGGAAAGTGTCCTGAGAGACCCACTGAATAAAAGTCTGGGTGAGACCTAGAGCCGATGTGGACGTTCAAACTAATACGATGTTAAATACGAAATGAATATCTCACTAGAAGTTAACTTCTTTATAAAAGTCTATTTTAGAACATCTAGAAACATAAAATGTAATCCTACGTGAACTGTAATTTTCTAGTTTTGTTTACGTGCGCTGAAAATTAAGTACACATTGTCCACTGGCTGATGCTGACATATGAATGAGGGGATTCTTGGGACACGCTGTGTGCACTCTCCTTGAACTTACCACTCCGATAGCTTCCATGGCAAATATGACGATGCTGAAGAACTGCGGTATTGTGTTTAAGGACGCGTTGAACTGGGGCAGCGTGGCTGCGTCGGGAATATCTTGAACCAGGTAATAGATGGTGATTCCAAGGCCGACAGCCATGAACAGGTTGGCGATCATTGAGACAGGGGCCAGGTACTTTAGGTTTGGTACCCACCCCAGCAGTATGAGGGGCAGCAGTAGAGCTGCGATGTACACCCTCTGGTCCAGGGCTGTTTGGGTGTGATATTCTATCACCTAGGAGATAAGAGCAGCAGGTTCATTAGCTCGGTCAAAAACTCTTGATATCATAAGATGTATGAAACGACCGGTTTTCGTAACATTTATAATCAAAAGTCTTGTGTTATTAAGTTCTTCAGCTTTCTCGTTTGAGTTAACCAAAAGCTTAACTCGAATTAAAAGTCCAGCAATCATTATAATCATTATAATGCACCAAAAGAGGTGTCAGTTTACGAAGGGAGTTTGGCTAAAATGTGGCATAAGTTCATTTTGCGGCCTTCGGACTCCGTTGATTTCAACGTAGTTACAGGAAATGTGCAAGAGCTTTTTTTTAAAAAAATAATTAAAGACTCGAGTTTATTTTAAGTTGTTCATGTGATTTGCTACATTCAAGTAACAGCCCTAAAATGCTGAATCACGCCATGACATTTTTTGGCATCGGACGTCTCAACATTTATTCTCCAACACGTGACACTCTGCGTTTGAAACATTCGCGGGGCAGAAACCAAATTTGGCGCAGTATACAAAGCTGTTCGGTTCTGAAAGTAATCGTAAAACAAGAAGAATTACCCTCCCGGCATGATTTCCAAGCGTCTTAAGTGCATCAGATTCCAGGCACTCGGCCATACCCGCAGACCTTCTTTAGGACGCTTTTCGCAATCCAATGGCATTTGCACTAAGAACTGATCAGAGTCCTTATATTTGGATCCATCCGCGAGAGGCGTTATTCCTGATTCCACGGCGTTTGAGAGGCGAAGTAGAAGTACAGCGATGGGGAGGGTCGGTCTCTGGAGTGAGTGAGGGTTCTTAACGTAACAGAACACGCGCACGGCGCTTAAATTACTCTAAATACAAAAATAGAAATGAATTTGTCTTAGTGTCGGTCCTTTTGGCGAAGAACGGGACTAAGTACAGCTATTATCATTATCGCCAGTCTTAGGCTCAGTAATATTACTTCTGGGAAATCTTGTTTTAAGGATCAGCCGACATGGCTGCCATTTCGATATGGCGAAAACTCCCGCTGACTAAGGCATTGTATTGGCCGTGTAGCTCATATTATTTTGATTCACTCCGAGGAACACGTTTTGTGTTCTGCGGTGTTGGCATATTGATCTGTTCATTTTCTGTACAAGGAGTCGTGTTTCCACAGTGGTAAGTGTGTATAGTGCAAGCGATAATAACATTTGCCAGTTGAATGTTTCAGAACAGGTAGTACACACTTATCACTACGTGATGCGTATATAAAATTTGCTAGTTAAATGTTTTTGGAACAGGTAGTACATATTTATCACCGTGATGGGTACATAGTGCAAGCGTATATAACATTTTTAGTTTAGTGTTTTCAGAACAGATAGTATAGTTACCACCACGTGATGGGTGTATAGCGCAAGCGTATATAACATTTGCTAGTTAAATGTTTTTGGAACAGACAGTACATATTTACCACCGTGATGGGTGTATAGTGCGGGTGTATATAACATTTGCTAGTTGAATGTTTTTATAACAGGTAGTATACAGTTACCGTGTTGACAGCAAAAAGAAGGTTGGTATAAATGTTTACTTCGCCTCTCATCGTGGAATCAAGCTTGAGGGTTGTTAGGTCTGTTTGTTAGAAGCAGTGGTAAAGTGAAGATCGTTTTGTGCTCCCCCATATCGCCTAGACAAAAAAAATATTCTTTGACAATTTTGTCTCAGACCTCGGGTCATCATCTGTTTCGGATCTGGACGCAAACCGGGCGGATGAATACGAAAGTGGACTGCAAGGAACGTTTCCGTTATCACCAGACTCCGACTGAAGAAAGAGTGAAGCTTACACAGGTAGGAACACAAGTTTTTGCTGACAGGTTGGGTGAGACCAGAGTTTCGTATTGTCTACATTGGTCCTCAGCCTAATGGCTCCCTCCACTCGCTCGTGCTGACATCTCCCGTCTACTGAGCCAAGCACCGCGCGAGCAGAAATATAGTAGACGGGTTGAGTTTGCGACCGGCTTTCATCGGTAAACGATGACTTTTTTTTCCACGAATGTAGGAATTTGTTAATTGTGTCAATTATTTGTACCAACGCGTGAGTGTTCCGTTTGATGCCACTGTTGAGGTAACAAATGCTCATCACTAACGGTTTATTACTGAACATATTTAAATGGGAGGAATTCTTATGCTGTACGTACCTGCTGGAAGTTGTTGCCCACGATAACAGTGTACACACTGCACGTTCCGAAGTACGTCAGGAAGAGGCTCACGAGAATCGTCTGCCTGGAACAGGACATGTGTGCAATGCACGTGTAGTTTAGGTTATCCATGGCCAGAGAATAAATATTGGAATGTGGAAATTATGAGAAATTCTAGCGAAACAAAGTTAGAATACGTAGCAGAACAACCTAACCTAAAAACAACGAACGGCGACGTTCTGCGCAAGTCCAAGATGGCGCCTTTGCGAAAAAGGTTAAACCATTACTGTGTGCGAAAGACGTGGCTGGAATCAGTTATCGCTGCCGGGGTGAAGGCCTAGACGTGTTCTGACGAAGGGCTATTGATGATGCGGGGAAAATAATCTGTCCTTCGTAAAAAAACAACAACTTCGGTTGTATGTGCGTCTGATAGTTGAACCCAGAGGACCTCTGGGACATCCGCGGTGTAGATCATGGATCTGGACCGTGCCATTTTTAAATCATACCCCGGCTCTTGCCTTATAACTGAGTAAAATCACGGAAACCTCAGTCAGGATAGCTGAGCAGTGTTAGACTCCACTCTATTACCTAAAAATTGCCAGAATAACCGATTACAGAGCAGAGTTGTGATTTGCAAGTTAATAGTCGCCTTTTATTCAATCATAAGATCTAATACCGTGTTCACAAAAGCCCGCCACTAGATTCTATTCTGGTTCAGTGAAATCCACTTCACATTCTCCCGCGCTATTTGTTTCAGATCTCTTTTAATATTATCCTACCAATGACGTCATGAAATTAAGGATGATACGGGAGAGAGACATCGCGAACACGTGAAACAAACTACAAACGCAACAAATTTTTGTTGTTCTTGTAGTTGAAGTGGATTAATCTGGCGCACGGTGTGAAATCAGTGGCGGTACTGAACACGGTAATGAACGTTCGGGTGCATGAAAGGTAGTGAATTTCGTAAGCAGTTGAGCGACTGACTTCCGTGAAATTGGTTGATAAGAAAGTCCAGATGTCGCTACTGAGAAAGGGCGGGCTGATAAAGGAAGCGAAGTTCGAATATCTCCTCGGCTGTACCAAGCAAATATTTAAACAGGTCGATTGTACAACCCAGAAAACTCAGATTCTGGCCGCAATATTATTATTCAATTTCGCAGTAACGACGACGAGAAAGAGGCTTCGTCATTATGAAGCCAATTCATAGAACATATAGGGAAGAGATACGATTCAGCCCTGCGTGTGAATGCTGAATGTTCCTCCGAAACGTCGTACGAACTTACAAGTCCTTACGGCGTTACAGACCAGAAGACGGACATCGAGAAATAACACCAAGAAAGAAGTAAATAAAGAAAGAAAAGTACGTAGTGAAGTAACCAATAAAATAAAGACATGTGCAAGAAATGAGACGCTATTAAGATTTTATCGTGCGATCGTAAAACTTTGGCTTTTAACCAATAAAAACGAAAGCGCGGTACAAGTGCGTTCCTGCGAATCGCGTAAAAGGCGAAACATGAAGCCATTTTGATGTTAAACTGGCGTCAGAATTCTTTGGTGCTTCGCCTATCAGTAATCTTCATCAGGAAGTAACAGGCTTCAAAGTTTGGTCGCGGGTAGAATATTAATGCTCTTCATAATACAGAAATACATCCGCGGACAGCGAAAGCGCTTATAACGAGAGTCACCTTTAAGGATAAATTTCAGTCGTATAGAGAAAGTCGGATGCAACACGTAGACAAAATGCAAGAAACAATTTTTAAACAATTATCAACCACGAGGAAGAAGGCGGAGGCTCGCAGTCTGATCTAGAATGGCGGGAGGAGGTAGGATGCCCTGGTAAGGCCAGTGGCAGGCGTTTCCTACCTCGCAATCTTGGAAAACTTCCTAGCCCATGGCGGACCATTGGCAAAAGCAACTTCGCCAACGTCGGCGAAGCTCATGGCCGTCACTCGCGTCCTGTAGTACAGCTCGTGGGCGCACTTCACCAGGATATAGGCGCAGTGCGTGCAGATGATTGCCACGAGGACCGTGCCGATCACTCCGGCCGTGAGACCCGCGTTCTTGAAGGCGTCGGGCATCGCCAGAATGCCAGTACCTAGGGACGCCTTCAGCAGATGCGTCAGCGTGTCGCAGTCCCTGGAACACAACACAGGGACAAGCTGAACTTGCACTGTTTTGTAATTTTATTGGCGTATGTTATCAGAATTGTCATTCCAGCGAATATTTATCAGGTCTTCCACATGATGAGGCCCCAAAGTTGGGGCTGCCGGTACCCCTGGACGGCCATGAAGATTTTTCTATGGTCACGGAGGGGAGGGAGGAGAAATTGGCAGGAAAAGTTTTAATCATAAATAAACAACATGCCAGTGAGATATATAAACCATTCCACCAAGCTCCATACTCGCCTGTCACCGCCCCACGACGTGTGCGATAGTCAAAGTTTCTAAGCCAAGAGCCTTCTCTGACCTGGCAATGGGTTGATAATTGTCGAGAACCAAGGACTTACGTGGTGGGGTGATCCAACTTCCTCTCCTTGAATGGATCGAAACTGCCCTTGTCATCGTTGTTGAAATAGAGAGCCTCTTGGTCCTTCGGAGTTACGTTCACTTTGTATCTGAAACACGAAGGGGAAAAAACTGGAATCAAAAAGGAGTACAGATCTGTCGCGTCTGGCCTCTCCATTCCACACGGTGGCGATTCGAAAAATACCTGGACACCCCCCAACCGCTCGCGTGTGACGTTGCAAGCCCCAGCTCTGGCGGAAGAATTTGGCGCTGTTCTGGTTAATACACTCAGAAATAAGAAAATACAACTGGCGAAGCCTCTGGAAATCACGTGACGATCGACCGTGTTGTTTCAGGGTGGACACCCTCGAGTCCATCATCCAATCGAGACAGCGAATGATTTTCATCTGAGGTCATTCAAGTAGGCAAAAAAATGGCGTCTTATACTACCCGAACGCTCAGTACTGTAAAGCCTGTGGTCTTGTATCCCCGACTTGAAAACTGAAGATGGAGGCGGTATGTTCCACCGAAATACACACACACACACACACTCTCTCCCTCTCTGATAATTGAACAGGAATTGATATTACCGGGTGAAAAATCGCATTTAACCCCTGCATTTGTCCGGGGGAAACCCACAAAGCCCTCAGTGAAGATGGCACGTGTCGAGTCGATATTTGAACCCCTAGACCTCTCGAATACGAACCAATACCGCCATGTTCAGCGAGAGACAACGTCCCGACATGCAAAGCGGCACCTGGAACTGTTCCGGTTTGACATGGCGGACGTGAAAACAAAGGAGGGTCGAAAGGCGCAGTGAATAATAACGCGCCCTTGACATGGGGGTCTTGCTTTTGTGTACTGCACTTTAATTATTCATGACTTGCAAATACCGACTACGTTAAATACAGTACAGTTTCGTCAATGCATTCATATGAAGTTCACTTCGCACCAGACTGTATTCTGGAACTTTAAAAAATGCTGACATTTTTTTTTCAGAATTTGAGAACGGTCTCTCATATTTCATAAAAAACATGTGCACAAGTCACCAGCCTTATCAGCTATCTCGCCCGTAACTTAAGACAGACATCTTCAATTAATCCTGCTCCACTAGAAGACAACACCAAGAGTTTTGAGTAACACATTTTTGAACAATGTTTTGTTTTTGTTTTTCCCACGCCTTCGTCTTCTGCATCACGTGAGTGTCATGCATCCATCGGGATCTAGTGATTGGCTTTTCGCCTGGTAGAATAAACATCAACTCAGTATTCAAGGTCACGCGATCTTGTGTAACAAAACGCTTGGATTTCGCAGCATCACGTTCGTTTCTAGCACTGCGTCCACCCACGTAGTCCTGCTGTAAATAAATTCTATGAACTGGCAAAGAACCTTACATACCTTAGGAAATGGGTTATAATAAATTCCTCCCAAATAATCTGTCAAGGCCAAGGTCTTTCGTACAATTCGCTACTAGAGCGCCAAGTTTCTGAGCAGTAGAGCAGGCCAAAACAACTCCAGGTGGTTAAAATTAACTACAAAAATAATAACCCACGAATAAATATATGAAAAAACAACTTCGAAGCGGACGTGGTCAAGACAGCGATCTTGTACTAATAAAATTCAGCATTCGCTAACGCTGCCACACAATCGATTGATCGGTCCGATAAATCGATTCTTTAACCCAGTGTTATTTTAGTGCACGCAGAGGCCTGACAGAGGGTGTAACGTAAAAGTCTGGCACAAATGTAAGGTCGAGTTTCAAAGAGCAAAACAACGTAAGAAATTGTGAACAATGGCTGTTCAAAATATTCTCCACGTTTTATAAAATATCATGTTCTTTACAGTGTTCACAACAGCCCACCACTGAACTTTATCCTGAACCAGATAAATGGTAGCTTTTTGTACCACCTGTTCAACAATCGATAAATTTCATTGTCCCCACAGAATGTTTGAATGATTCTCACAGTAAACAGCGTTAACCAGTTGATCTTTGTAATGGTGAAGAGTTGTGTTTTCTTCGCGGTACGGGCTGAGTTTTTTTAAATACTATTCAGACGAACTATGATTCTCAGAATAAACAGCTATCATTTCCTTAAACAGCGTTAACCAGTTGATCTTTGTAATGGTGAAGAGTTGTGTTTTCTTCGCGGTACGGGCTGAGTTCTTTTAAATACTATTCAGACGAACTATGATTCTCAAAATAAACAGCGATCATTTCCTTAAACAGCATTAACCAGTTGATCTTTGTAATGGTGAAGTGCTGTGTTTTCTTTGCGGTACGGAATTAATTCTTAAATATTAATCACATGAGTGTCGGGCTCAAAGGGTTAATATCAATCAGTTCTCGCCATTACTGACGATGGGTTGTTTTCTGTCATCTCTGACACGTGTTATTCATGTATAATAATGGTTTGGTTGATTTTTGGGTCTGGTTAGGATCTGACGCGTGCTAGCGGTTACCCATAAGGCTTCAGTATTGCCAACTGCGGTGTTTCTTCAGAAATACCCTCGCGTAGCGTTCCTGTCCTTTGAGAATCGCTGAACCCGGATGCAAAGCGCAGCGTAACTCAAGATTGAGGTTGTTGGCCCCGACTACATTCTTCACGTCAAATTGCTTGCGTTTCATCCAACCTAACCTCTTCGTATGTTCCATACCCAACAGTTTCAAGGACGGATCACCGATAATTATTCCCCTACCCATGGGCCCAAAAAAGTTAACGTAACCGAACATTTGATTGTTTCTTAATTTATTAAACGGTCAGCTATGTTAGCGTGGACAACTGGCGTCCCGCGAGCCACATCCGACCCGAGAAATTATTAATTTGTTTCTAGTTATTATTTTCTTCACTCCGCTAAAATTTGAAGAAATAAATTGATTATTATCTCGTCAGCTGCTTTATATATAAGTTCCACACATGCTATTTACTTTTAAAAGACCACCGTAAATTATAAATTTTTCATATAAAAATTGTCAGGTACAAACTGTTGCAGGGTCAAATTTAAAATATGTAACTCTGTATTAATCTGTGTATATTTTAAAAATGTCTGCATATAAAATGGCAATGGTAATAATAATTGAAAATACGACAAAAACTAGATATTAGTTCTCAGAAATTGTGACAGGAAAGGTTTCTTGTCCCTCGGATGCAACAGGAAACCGTGGAAAGAAAATAAATTGACTAAACGTGTTACGTTATCTGCGTCAGACGACAGGCTGAGAAAAAAAACGCTGTCACACTATATGCCATGTAGGCGCTTGGGGGGGAGGGGAGGAAAAAGCTGGATTAAACTGACTGAAGACCTCAACCAACGCCAAGACTTTGCGTCTGAGGAATCAGATCCATGGCATAGTCCTTGTAATACGGGATACTGCTCTTTCTCGGTGCTCATGTGCTGTACTCTATCGGAACTTCAGTTTCTCACATGGCAGCCATGATTGTTGTGTCCTCGGACATTTTTACTTATTTCGGAGCTCCTCGGAGGGGTTGGTCAAGTTTTTAAAAAGCAACGAACCCCTTCGGGGGGGTTGGTTGCGTTTTAAAATCTTGTGTAAGAAACTAAACTAAACCCCCCGAATGGAGGGTTAAAATACTTGACCAACCCCCTTTTTCGGGGGAGCTTGATCAAGTGTTTAAAAATCAACCAACCCCCTTTCGGGGGAGCTTGATCAAGTTTTTAAAAAACAACGAACCCCTTCGGGGGGGGGGGGGTGGTGGGGTTTTAAAATCTTGTGTAAGAAACTAAACTAAACCCCCCGAATGGAGGGTTAAAATACTTGACCAACCCCCTTTCGGGGGAGCTTGATCAAGTGTTTAAAAAGCAACCAACCCCCTCTCGGGGGGGTTGGTTGCGTTTTAAAATCTTGAGTAAGACACTAAACTCGGCATTGTTGTGTTGTACTCGGCATTGTCGTGTTCCACAACAATGCCGAGTTTGTTTATAGTTGACATTGTTGATGACGTAATTGATTGACGACGACGAAATCACAAATTTTTATAGTAAAAGAAAGAAGACTGTGCAAGCATGGATATTTGTTGATTTATGCACGTGTTCCAGCTGTTCTAAATGATGCAGGCAAGAGATAATTATGTTTATGTTTCCGAAAACAGCTGCATAATGATGAAAGCCCTTCTGGCTGTAATTGTTGTACCCTGACAAGCTTGGAAGTGATGTTGCTGGTAATATGACGTTCGTTTACATTTCACTATCCAGTATTTTTCTAAATTCAATGAAATTTTACATAAAATAATAAAAGAAAGAATACATTGTGAGGGCAAGAGAAAGTAGTGGATTCAGGAGATGTGGTTAAAAGCTGGTAGAGCAGAACAGCGTGAATGCAATCATTGTCGTAAAAAATTTTGTTTTATGTCGATTGATTTCTCGTTTAATTTTTAAAATGAGTTCCTTTATACAATGTACATTTTGTCAAGCTGAACACCGTTTTCTGTCACAATTTGTGAAGTATCCCACAGTTATTTATCGTTTGATTAAATATTTTTTGAAAGTCGCTGTCATTGCAGAATTTTGGACTTCAAAGAGTTGTAACCTGACAATTTTTTCAGAATTTAACTTAGTCGCCTTGTTCGCTGTGTCTTTATTAGTCAGCGTGTAGTCTGAGATACAGCGTCGCCAAATGAACATCTTCACTTTAATACAAAACGGTTAAAAATACAGCTTTGAACACTATAAATCATTTACTTTGACCTATAAATTCCAATTCATATGCAACTGTCAAGAAAATTCAAATAGGAAATCAACAGAGCGGAACTACACATTAGATTACGTTAAACAATGTTAGTTCCTATTTCACATTAGGGAGAGAGATACCTGGGTTATCAGAAACAGGTAAAAGTCAGATAAGGTCTCGTGACATGATATTTTTGACAGGTAATAAGTTATAAATTGAACTAGGGCGTGTAAACAGAATGCCAGATGAAAGATTATCATCAACGTAGACTCTTTGCAGTTCGAACTACAACCAAGAGGAAGAACATGTATTGGTAGACCGTGTAAACCAGTGGTATTCAACCTTTTTTGTTCGCGTACCCCCAGATATAATTTCTCTTCAACTTTGTACCCCCCAAAGTTGTTGGTGTATAATTCAAATTAT